TATCTATCTATCTATCTATCTATCTATCTATCTATCTATCTATCTATCTATCTATCTATCTATCTATCTATCTATCTATCTATCTATCCAGACTTTATCTACACAGACTGTTAGTTTTTCAGGGGTCTCATCTATAATCCTCATAACCTTACTATTTTATAAGTGTCCCCTTGTGTGAAGTTAATGTGGATTTTGTTTTTGTTTTTTTTAGCACGAAGCAAATCTTTTAAAATCTTCCCATAGGCATCTTAGTTAGTTCTTTGATCTCTCTATCTCTCGGCAGGCATTAGACCGGAGGCAATATTAATGCTATTGTAACAGTGTTGCATTTTCCTTCCATCAGGAGGCTGTGCAATGATGTGATTATAAAGAGGTATTGATGACGCTCACTGTCCCGAGAAAAGGTCAAACCAAGTAAAAACACCTGCGCAGGTCCAGCACGGTTGCAAAAAAGCCTCACAATAAAGTGAAGCATTTTTGTGATTTTGTTGCTTGATTTCAGTGTGTTGGTCATACTGACATACAGGCACGCATGCTTGTTTTTAAAGTGCATAGAGATTATGGGCTGTGAATGCGCCCATCCAGGATATTATTAGGTTAGAGTCCTACAGTTTAGCCTGGCTGACCAGGCCTGGTAGGGTTCCTTTGATCAGTGCCAGTAAATCTGTTCGTCATGCTGACAGTGATGGATCTGCTGCCTTCTGATGGGAAATCATCTTCTGAATGAAATTTAGAAAAAACAAATCAACAGTGTGTGATTATAACATCCAGGACAGATGCTACAGATGCTGGCATAAACATAAATGTTTTTTTCTTTGTTTTCCCACTAATTAATGGTAATATTGAGCTGATTCGCTTATCAAGGTTAAAGCTCTATTTACAGCTTTCTTTTTGCCACCTACTACGATTTCTGACTCTGTCCTTGGTGATAAGCAACGACGACTGAATGCCATAGCTGAAAATAGCTCAGAGCATTCACAGACTGTATACGAAAGATACGCATTCTGGTCTGAAAAGGGAAGACTTGAACCTGCGTGCTTTCTAGTGGCCAGCAGGGGGCGAATCTCATTACAAAAATAATCCAAAATTGCATTTAAGTTTGTTTACTGAACTTTTGCTCTCAGTTAACGTTTTCCTAATAAGTCTCAGTCTCTAACTCGATATCTGGCTAAATCCAACATGGTGTACTTTTTCTAAAATGTTTTCCACATTACAGTCAAAATGAACAATAATCCAGTGAATGCTTTAAGGTGGACCTAACTTTAAATTTTTAACCCGCAGTGAATTTTGAATCAGTCAATCAAGAGTAAAGAAGCTACTGCCTTGTCACAAAACGGTCATCACAGCAGGTAGCGCAGCATTTTTAATGCTTGATGCCCTTCTTAATGCCAGTATTGAACCAGTGACCTTTCACTTGCCAAGCAGATGTGTATAAAACATTGCACAACCACCACTGATGACGCAAAGCAGCTGTTCCTCAACAGTTCATACAATATCATTGAAACCTTGAGTTAAAGGTAAAAGTCTTCACTTGTGTTGGTGTTACTAATATATTATTATAATAATGTTGGTCAAGGATCAACACTGAAGCTGACCAATCACGTGGCTTGAGCATTCAGCTAGCATTAACTAAGAAATTAGCATTAACTAAGATGTTAGCATTAGCTAAGAAATTAGCTAATGCTAATAAAAACTATTACCAAGAAACCAAAAGGAGTGGCCTAAATTTGGCAACAGCAAATATAGCTTTCTAATATATTTACTATCTACTGTATAAAGTAATGACAAAAACACTTAAGATGCTTAACAACTGCTTCAGAAGAGAGTTTTATATAAACAAGAACGCTTTTAATATAGCTAACGTGTCAACTGCGACATTGATCCTAAACCAACTTTAATATGATGATGCAGGAAAAATATCAACATGGGTGATCCAATACACCCACATCTTGACTGTTTGGTTTACATCACCCGTGCTGGACTGTAAAAGCAACAATATATATATTTTTATGTGTAAATGTCCACAAACTTATGGACCTAACTGCACAAGTGAAGAAGATGTTCAAAATGCTCGGTTCATTGCTTTACAGCGAGACGTCATTACTCAAGTAATTTAAACCCCCTGGTTTTGCTTCTGGTTCTGATTACTTGTGTGAACGCAATCATTCAAGAATTATTATTATTATTATTGCTATTATTATAAAACAGTTATATACAGCTTGGTTAATCGTTTGCATTCATTTGCAATAACTTGCAAAGATTTACAGAGATATTTTTAATTAAATAAAAGCTGTTACTCTTTGCTGTAAGAGTTTTACGCTTTTATATGCGTCACACAGTTTGGGTTTCTGTAGCTGACGAACATGTAAACTATGCCTCAAACCAAAAATCTACCATTGCCATAGTTTAATGATATTTATATTTCACTGGTTTAGTTCAGAAGTATTAAAATAAATGTAAATATACCAGTATTTGATGAAGTACATGATGTGTACTGTACAACTGACAAACACTTACTGCTCCGTGAGGCCCGTTATTACCTGTCAGAACTCGTTTTGGGAGAAAGTGACATCACACTGATGTCTCATCACCGTCTGTCCGTGCTTTCGCTGCGCCATAAATTAAAAGTGACAAGTGGTTTTATTGCACAGTGACCCCGCCTGTAGCGTCTCCCTGCAGAAGCATACGGACCACCTGAACCGAACCTTTAAAATTGTTCTTTAAACAGCACGTTTTCCAAAAAGCAACATGACACTGTGGCAAAGAATAAAATAGATATCAGTTTTAAAGCTTCTTTTTCCTCAATTTCAAGCTTGGTCTGTTTTATCACACGGCTTCCATCCAATCTGCATGTTTTCCTTTTTTTTCAAATAAAGAACATTTAGAGATTATATGATTTCAGGTTTTTTCTACAATAGTGTCAGATCCATTTGAGCCATAGTCACACAGAGCAGCTCTTCAGCATACGATGAGGCATTTAGGACATTTGTGCACCAAGAACAATCAATTAGATTCACTGTTTTCAAGGCCTGATGTTTAACCCTGTAATTATTGCTCAGGCCTGTCTGTGACTCAGCAGAGGACGCACACTGAGTGAATATGGAGAGGCAACAGGTGTAGTCTGGATGGGAACCATTACAGGCTGGTTAGATGGTTTAAGTGGATAAAAGAAAAGAGAAGCAGTTTAAAGATAAAAACATGACAGGCAGAGATGGATTATGAAACTCAGATGTAAAACACAACGCCGCATCAACAGCAGTTTTTTTCATTACAGTTTGTGGAAACATTCAAAACTGTTAAAATGAAAAAGGTTAAAAGGTTGTGATTGTGACAATTTATTAAGTGCAATGCAAAATCAAATAAAAAAGAAAGAATTATTATAATTCTGATACTTTGATCTTGTTTAATGTTTCATGTTGCCTCTTCCGCTTTAACCCTAGACTATAGAAAAACTTGCAGTTTCTGAAGCTGTGAGATGAGTTTTTGCCATCATCGTCTTGGTGATGAAATGTGATGAGAATGGGACGGGTCTGACTGCGAAACTGCAAGCTCATTGGCTTCAGTCGTATAATATTCTTGTACATATCAACACTATATTAGGTACAACTTGCTAGCACTTGGTTGGTCTGTTTTTTACTTCAAATCTGCCTTAATTCCTCAGAGCCTTTTTTGTCCATATTGACGTGACAGCAACACACAGTTGCTGCAGATTTGTCGGCGCACATCATGCTGAGAATCTCCTGTTCAACCACATCCCAAAGGTGCTCTGCTGGATTGAGATCTGGTGACTGTGGAGGCCATTTGAGTACAGTGAACTTGCTGAGATGATTTGAGCTCTGTGACAGGGTGTGCCAGTCATAAAGGGATAGACCTGGTCAGCAACAATCCTCAGGTTGGCTAAGGTATTTAAACAAAGCCCAGTTGGCAAAAAATGTGCCATGAACCATTACATCACCAGTAGCCTGAACCATTAATGCAAGGCAGAATGGAGCCATGTTTTTGTGTTATTTATTCCAAATTCTAACTCTACCATTTAAATGTTGCTGCAGAAATCCAGACTCTGAAACTACAATTCACACAGGCTCATTCAAAGTTTCCCGGTCTAACTTTGAATGAGCCTTTGTGAATTGTAGTTTCAATGTGCAGGTCTCAGCTGACAGCAGTTGCACCCAGTGTGGTCTTCTGCTGCTGTAGGTCATCAGCTTAAAGGTTTGAAGTGTGATTGGAACGAGTGGTTATTCGAGTTATTGTTGCCTTCCTATCAGCTTGAAGCAGTCTGGCCACTCTACTCTGATCGCTCACGTCAGAAAGGCAGTTTCACCTGTTTTCTTTTTGAGACCATCATCAGTAAACCCTAGAGATGGTCGTGTGAGAAAATCCCAGCAGGTCAGCAGATTTTTAAATACTCAGAACAGCCCGTCTGTCACCAACAACCATGCCATATTCAGAGGCACTTAAATCATCTTTCTTCCTCAATCTGATGCTCAGTTTGAACTTTAGCAGGCCATCTTGTCTTGATTTGATTTCACCATCTTGATTTGAATTGCCGCAGGTGTACCTAAAAAGTCTAACGAGGGTCAAGCGACACGTTTAACTTCTGTAGGGCCTCTCTAAAACGTTCATGTTACTGGACTGCGCCCTGTTAGAATTTAATGTTGAGCTGAGTGAGCCAGTCTCTCTAGAGTTTGTGTTTTTTGTGTCTTTTTGTAGCATCTTTGAATTCATTACACGTCATCTTTTGTTTCTTTCTTGTCACTTAAGCAGACTTGGCTCTGGGTCTACAGGAAACATAAATAGATGCACTGAAAGTACCCGATGAGTCCCTTGCTAACAAAAGCATCTTTCCATTAAAGATGCTTTTGTTACCAAGCCTGACTTGCTATTTTAACCAATGTAAATTCTCGCTTTTGTTGCAGACAGCTTCAACCTGTAACCAGTCAAGCAAATTGGGAGTCAGCTCTGAGGTGTCCTGATCAAACTGAAGCCACAGCACGTACAGGTGGCCTCTCAAGCTAAACCTTTGACTTGTTGTGCGTCTTCTGTACTTCTTTAACATGGAGGACGGCTACCAAAACCGGACTGCCTTCATAAAAGGAGCCAAAGACATTGCCAAAGAAGTCAAGCGGCAAGCTACCAAGAAAGTGGGTCGCTCAGTTGATCGAGTGAGCGATGAATACAGCAAGCGCTCCTACAGCCGCTTTGAAGAGGACGATGACGATGACTACCCCATGCAGGGAAGTCAGGATGGAGGCTACTACCGTGGAGACAGCCAGGCAGCGAACGACGATGAGGGCGGCCACAGTGACTCCACTGAGGGTCACGATGAGGATGACGAGATCTATGAGGGAGAGTACCAAGGAATTCCCAGGGCTGATTCAGGAAAAGGTAGCCTTGCTGGGGGTCCAGGATCGGTGGGAGCCGGAGCTCAGCAGTTCAGAGATATCGGCGTGTCCGAGGCTGAGAGGAGGAAGGACCAAGAGGAGCTGGCCCAACAGTACGAGACCATTTTGCAAGAATGTGGCCACGGGAAGTTCCAGTGGAGCCTGTACTTCGTCCTGGGCCTCGCACTCATGGCTGATGGCGTGGAGATCTTTGTGGTCGGGTTTGTGCTCCCCAGCGCTGAGAAGGATATGTGTCTGTCTGAACCCAACAAAAGCATGCTAGGTAGGACTCTGCTCCTTCTGTTGCAAATGTTTAGCAGGCTTATTATCAGTTTTATACATGACAGTGCTGTTAATAATCTACACATTAGTCCCCATCAACAAACCTTGGCTGTGTATCCAAGGCTTGCTACAACTCATTCCTCTGTGGCATGATCTTTACTTCTCAGCCAAGAACTATTTAAAAAACTAAATGAGTCACACTGTTGCTCTTGGCGACATGTTCTTTCGAACCCACATGCAGCATACTTGAAATACTCACCAGAGCGTGAGATGTGTATCAACTCTGGGGAAAAATCTTTTTTTGTTTGTTTGTTTTTAAAAATGACTGGTCTTCATTTTTTTAAGGACAAACATTTACACACACAAGTGAGGCAGTAACAGGTTCCTGCCAATGGTTTCATGCCACCAGACTGATTTAGATAATGTTGTGTAATGATGCAAAAAAGAAACACAGCAATGCAGCAGCAAAGAAGCGAGAGAGAGGCAGAGCGCTCGGTGGATGCAGCAACGTCTATGTTAAACATTTCATAAAAAACGTTTTGTTTTATGTTTTAGTTTTTAATAAATATTCCAAAGAATAGTTTTAACAACAATGAGCTCTTCAAAGATACAGTGAGTGACTGAAACTAGCCTCTTTAACATACACTGCACCACTCCAAAGAAGTTGGGATGCTGTTTGAAATGTAAATGAAAACTGAATGCAATAATTTGCAAATCTCATAAACTCACATTTTATTCACAACAGAGCTGAGAAAACATTGAACATTAGGAAAATGAGGAGTCCACTTGGCTGATTTTTGGAAGTAGAACGTCCCGTTTTTGTCTCAGGTGGGGTTCTAGCTGCTCAGCAGTCGTGGGTCGTCTTTCTCGCAATTTTTCTTTCCTGATCCACCAAATGTTTGGTGTTGGGGAAAGGTCTGGACTTTATGACAGGTCACTTTAGCACACAGACCCTTCTACTATGAATCAATGCTGTTGTAATAGATGCAGCGTGCTGTTTAAGATTATATTATACTGCTCTAAAGCAGCGGTCCCCAAGCCCCGGGCCTCGGACCGGTACCGGTCCGTGAGTCGTTTGGTACCGGGCCGCGAGAGTTGAGGCTCAGGTGTGAAATGTGTGGTTTTCAGGGTATTTATTGGTTTTCAGCGTTATTTTGTTATCGTTTTTATCGTTTACTCGGTGTTCTTGGGTCTTTTCACGTGTGTTATGAATAAATCTTCTTTTTTTCGGTACTGGTACTAGTTTTATTTTGTTGTATTTATCCGCGACACCTTAAAGGCCGGTCCGTGAAAATATTGTCGGGCATAAACCGGTCCGTGGCGCAACAAAGGTTGGAGACCGCTGCTCTAAAACATGCAGAATAGAGGAATCCATGTTTTTATGTATTTTATTTCACTGTTTTCTACTTTGTTTCAGTTTATTTTAAATTATTTTAGCCCAAAGTTGATGGTTGAGTCTTTGGGTCATGTTCACGTTTGGCTTCTTCTTTACACAACAGTTTAAATCTGCATTTGTGGATGGCGCAGTGAACTGTGTTCACAGACAATGATTCCTGAGCCCATGCATTGTTTCTGCCTGAGCACCTGAAGCATCCTGCATCATTTTCAGCCTCTAAATCGTTTGATATATTTGGTACTATACATGATGAGGCATTTAAATTCTTAGCAATTTTACATTTAGGAACAATATTCTGAACCTGAGAAACTCTGCCTCTTGTCTTAAACCCAATCATGTTACTGACCGGCAGCCAATTATCCTAACTAGCTATTCAGTTTTTATCTTCATTTTATACCACATCCAACCTTTTGGGGAGTTGGGGTTGTGTATGAAAGATGTTCATACGCACCATGACATCACCCACTGGGTTGGTCAGTTTAAAGTGTGGTGTTTAGCATCATAACTGCCACTATCTTGATTCTTTGGAGATCAAATGACCATATTTGGATGGTCTTTTAGAACAATTACCCACTAGAGTCATATAATTTTAAAGATAAATGCATTAAAATGGCCCCAAAGGCATCATCAGCACAAACATGGTTAAGAGGTTTTCAGTCACTCAGATTACAGTCATGAAACAGTGGTTAAATCTTTTATCAGGAAGTCTGTGGGGATTAACACGCTTTTACAGCCAGCTTCACACTGGCACTTCCATGTTTTCTTCTTTTCTCAGCCTTTCCCTCAGAAGGGAAACAAAAGAAATGTGCATGTTTATCATCAAACTATCAATTTGATTTGAGATATAGTAGAGTTATCATGAGCCGGCAAGTCTTTGTAGTCTGACAATTGAATTTCCTTTGCTCTCTCTGCAGGTCTTATTGTATATTTTGGGATGATGGTTGGCGCTTTCCTATGGGGAGCTCTGGCTGACCGGATAGGCCGTCGGCAGTCTCTTCTCATCTCTCTCTCTATCAACAGTATCTTCTCCTTCTTCTCCTCCTTTGTCCAGGGTTACAGCACCTTTCTGTTTTGCCGCCTCCTCTCGGGTGTTGGGTAATTAAAAGAATTATAATAACAAAAATACTTCTGTTGTTTCTGCCCATGCCATTTAGTTGACTTAAAAAAAAATCATCATTTCATTTATTGAGGGGCAATAATCTGCCCAAACCTACCCGGACCATCTTTGTTAAATGATGAATTCAAAGTCTCTCGTCTACACAGTCCTCATTTATAAGGTGCTTCACAAACCCAAACATTACAAGCTAACAGCAGTTGCTGCTAAAGAGGCAGACAGGGAAAGTGGAAAGCAAATCTGTGGTTTAAAAATTAAACTCCTTCTTGCAGACAGGAGCAGCTCAAAAGTGTTCCCCTTAAACAGAGTTTTAGATTTAGTCCCCTTCTTCCCACTGAGTTATCGGTTCTGTCACTAGCTAGCTAACATAAACTAAGTCTATTAGCCACAACCAACCAACCAACCACGGTAGACATGTTCTCAAAACTTTAGGCACTTATTTCTTTAGTCCAGCTTCACAGACAGAGTTACAGCTAAGTCCGTATTTGAGAGCAGGAAAAAAAAAGTTGCAAAACTCCTGTCTGATATAAGCGACAGGTTCGGTTTTAGAGGGTTAACCTGAACCTGTCTGACAAAGTGTAGTTCAAAGATCTCAAAAAGGGACACATTATGCGATACGATCTAAAGAAACAGCTTAGAAGCAAAGTCACTGACCTTTATCGGCCTAGAGCAATTTCTAAGGCTTTGGGACTCCAGTAAAACGTGGTGATAGCCATTTCAACAAATGGAGAAAACTTGCCCAGGTGACCAAAATTGGCCTATCAAGAGCACATCGATGACTCATCCAGGAGGTCCCAGAATAACAAATGCAGACCTGCAAGCTTCACTCGCCTCAGTTAAGGTCCTAGATCATGATTTAACGACCAGAAAGAGACTGGGCAAAAATGGCATGTATGGGAGCATCTCCAAGGAACTCTACAAGCTGAACGTTTTGGAAGGTTTGAGTCCCATTAGATCTGACATAAAACTAAAACAGCATTTCATAAAAAGAACGTCATACTAACTGTCAAACACGGTGGTGATAGTGTGATGATCTGGGGCTGCTTTGTTGCTTCAGGGCAACTTATGGAACCATGAATTTTTCTCTCTACCAGAAAATCCTGAAGGAGAATGTCCAGCTATAACTTCGTACCTGAAGCTCAAGCATCAGCGACCTGAAACATACCAGCAAGTCCACCTCTGATGTGCTAAAAAATAAATGAATAAGAGCGGGACAAAATTCTTCCACAGTGATGTGAAAGTGCCATCCTCGCTTCGAAGGATGGCACAGGCAGTTCTTAGGTTTAGGGGGTAATTACTTTTTCACTGCACAGTGTGCCATAACTGCAGTATTAGTCCCTTCCCTTTTGAAACTTTTAATTTTTATCCGGCTGCATAAATGTAATTTTAACAGTGAAATCGCATGAGCACAAAATGATTTTGATGATTCATTTAGTTTTTACAACGTGTAGCAAAGTGTTCAAACAGAGTTTCTCAAGTTTAGCGAACTGGCAAATTGAAAGAACTGACATCGTTTCCATTTGGGCTCAAACCAGTCGCTTTCCCGCTGAGCTCCTGTGAGTTTGTTTTGCACCACGGTGATGATAATCACACAAGCACAGAGACATTTAATGCACTGGTTGTGTTAAAGCTTTAGTGGCTAAATGAAACAGCAATTGCTGCACATTCAAGCTCTGAGAGAGCCACGAGTTGGAAAGTTTCGCAAATTGTTGCTCTACTGTTAAAAACAATAACATAAGTATGTTGCTTGACTCTTGATATGATACAGAAGAAAAAGCCTATCTATTCAAACACACATATACATATCAAAAATAGTATCACTGATACAAACACTTCACCTCTAGGCTCAGTTGTGTTCTGAATTTTGCAGAATCGGTGGTTCGATTCCCATCGTCTTCTCGTACTACTCTGAATTTCTGTCCCAAGAGAAGCGTGGCGAGCACCTCAGCTGGCTATGCATGTTCTGGATGATTGGAGGAATATACGCATCTGCAATGGCCTGGGCTATAATCCCACATTATGGTGAGTACAGTAATCAGAGTAAAGAAAACAGATAGTTATGGATCCTTACTTTCTCTGCCCAGGCTGACTGATCATCATCAAATGCCTATGAGATACAAATAAAGCTCTCTAAATATTATATTACAATCTCTTTATTTTACAATTATTATTATGCATGTACGTATGAAAATCCCACCAAGATGTTAATATTTTTGGAGATTTGTCAGTCAGTTGAAAAGCTCGAGGGTAAAACGTAAGCTGACTTTGTTTGCTAGAAAGTGATCTGCCCAGAAACCGTGCACTGAGGGTGACCTCTGACCTCTAAATTCTGTTTGAGAACATGCTTCATAGTGAGTTTTAAAAACATGTTATTTTCACTGCACTGAAGGTTAACTATTCGGAAATGTGTGCTCACTTCTTTGTGTTGGCTTGCTTTTTCCTTTCAGGATGGAGTTTCCAGATGGGCTCGGCGTATCAGTTCCATAGCTGGCGCGTGTTTGTGCTAGTGTGCGCTTTTCCGTCAGTTGCAGCCATCGCTGCCCTTAACGCCATGCCAGAGAGCCCACGCTTCTACTTAGAGGTTAGCAGATGTGCTTGTTTAAACAGTTAAGTCTTTGTCTTACAGTAATAGCTGCTGATATGTTTCTCATTATTAAATCCATGCCATCTTTAACAGAATGGCAAACATGACGAAGGCTGGATGGTTCTGAAGCAAGTTCACGACACAAACATGCGAGCAAAGGGATACCCAGAGAGGGTGTTTTCTGTAAGTATCAGTGAGAAAACAGCAATGTAAATCTCTCAGAGCGCTCACAGCAGAGGGAAGTGTGGGAGAGGGAGAACAGACGGGGTCTCTGGTCAGATACCCATTGGCTGTCTGGGGTTACGCCCCTAGTTTGGAGTAAGCTGAACAAAAAGACACACTGACTTTGGATCAGAGCCGATGACTTGTGCAAAGGAAACTTGCTGCTATGTGATGCAATGAAAACCACAGAGTATATAAAGGACTGATGTAACCACTATGACATCACCCACTGGTTTGTGGCCTCAAATTTAACCGGTGCAGAAGATGTATTAACACAGGTTTGTTTGTCACATGACATCATGCACACATTGCTCAAGAGTTGCCTGCCATGTTGGATGTGATACACCCTCTGGTTGCTATGGAAATGTGAAATACCCAGCTGGTCAGCAGTGGTTCCTGGAGGTTGCTACCTCTTGCTGGGTGAAATCAGTTTAAATGAAGATGCTGCACCGAACACCTCTCAGGAATTGCCTTGGTAACAGGTTGTTTACCTGTAGCTTTTCATGTTTGTCTGCAAATACTTGCAGACTACTAGCTTAGCTGTGGTACAACTTGATAACGAGCAATGCAGAAAGGACATGGAGAAGGTTTACATCAGGGCTACAGCCAACAAGTTTTATGAGGCGCTACTTTTACTTTGAATACTTTTACTTTGAATAGCTACTTTTACTTTGAATAGCTGGCTTGTGTTGCACATTTCTCAGTTTAACTGCAGATGGGTCATTAGGACATTAGGACATGATGTAGATAAGTTCAAAGTATTTTATGTAGAAAGCTGTAAATGTAAACTTGGCCATTTCTGAAATGTGGATTTAAGGCAGTGGTTCCCAAAGTAGGGGCACGCCTCCTGGGGGGGAGGGGGATAGCATGTTAGTAAAGGGGGGCGCAGAGCCATTGCAGGGGGGTGGCGAGTTATGAATAAAATAAATAAATAAATTAAAGAATGCTTGGACACTGCTAGCATAACGGACAGGTTTCTTGACCGGGATCCCACACAAACACAGAGCAGAGGATGAACCATCGCCAAATATGCTTGCAAACCAACTTCCTTCCGAGCTAAAGACTAGAAAATATGATGAAGCATATCTTGCCTTTGGCTTCACCTGCACAACGGCGGTGCAAAGGTAGGTACCCCCAAAAGAATTTGTTTCCCCCGCTTCGGGAGCACGTGCTGGGATCACGGACAAACAGTATCCCACATTCTTGATTTTAAGTTCACAAACACTTCTTATAATGAAATTTTGGCGATTTTAGCTCTTTATACAGTAAATTTACAGTGGGATACAAATAATGACAAACAAACAAACATTATCACAGTTGTTTATGTTTTTAAACCCATTTTGCACAGAGAGACATTTTTTTGAAAAATGTATTGATACCAGTGTTGAATATTTTTAAACAGTAAAATAAAAAAACAACTATACGTAAAATAATTACACCATAAAGATAGTTTGTTTCGTGGTTTATTTTATTGTGGGGTGTGGAATAAACTGCAATCAAGTTTGAAAACAAAATATGGGTGTGGTTGGAGGGGGCACGCGCTGGTCTAAGGGAACCGGAGTGAGCCTCTAGTGGCTATTTGAGGAACTGCAGTATTTGGTTTCAGTTGATGCTTGATGGACAAAACTTTACATTATTACAAATATATCATCTTCGAGATAAGCTCCAAGGATTTGCTTCTTTACTTCCTGTTGAGATAAAACCTATTAAAATCGACCCACAAATCATACAAATGTGTGATTTCCCACAATATGTATTCCGGTTAAACAAGTCATGAGAACAGGAACAGAATAAATACATTGTTGTAACAGCTCCCAGTCCATTTAAAGATGCTTTACCCATTACAGAGATGTTCATCAGGCTTATGATTAACAGTAAATGTTATTACAGTCAATGTCTCTGTAATATCTGGTGGTGACTTTCAGAGCCTCTTTTTCAGAAAGTCTCTTGCAGTAGTTACATTATTTTTGAGCCAAAGTCATCTCTAATTTGACTTTTGTGACTTTGGTCCAAGGTCACCACAATCAAAACTGTGAAGCAGATGGATGAGCTGGTGGACGTTGGCACCGACACGCCTGCTTGGCAGCGCTACAGACTGAAGATTATGAGCCTCTCCCAACAGGTGAGTAAAGTTAATTAAAAAATACAGTTTACATACATTTTGTCCAGCCTGCAAATGTTGTTCTTCTAAACTGGTTGTTTTTTTTTGAGTAACCAGGAAATTTGGTATTTTGGATTTTGTGAGCAAAAGCAGTAACTAAAGGGCCAAGCTTTAACAGTGTGAAATAAAAAAGCCCCCTCCGGCACCCACCCAAGATCACAGCTTCCTCAAAATTACAGTTATTTTCAAGAGTGCTGAAGCTGAGGTGTTTTACAACTCAGGGCTGGCATTAAAACGCCTCAGTGGATGAAAGCAATGTGCATGCAAGCACAGGTGGAAGTAAATCCAAGTGTAGCTAAAATATTATGTCTTTTCCTTTAGTTTGTCTTTGATTTTTTTTGAGTATATTAAAGGGATAATAAGCTACTTGCTTGAGCATTTATTGACCTGTCCGCCTGCAAAGTTTCTCCCAAATTCAAGTTCTGTGATAACACTCGGCACACAAAGATGATGCATTTTTGAGGTATTGTGTGGATTTTTTGGCTTTGATGTGTTTAAACTTCAGCAGCATGTTGTTGCACTGGGCTTTTATGCTCTGGGCAAAAAAATCCTTCACCAGGCTGTTTGCCTGATTTGAATTTGCACGCAGCCTACGTTCTCCTACGCACACACACGCCTACGCGCTGCTGCTTAATGCCTGCTTAATGCCCACTACAAGAAAAAGTTTGAACAATGAGAGAGTTGAAGCAGCGTTTTCTTGTTTCATGTGGAAGCCGCTGTCATGTTGCTTTCAGCTTTTTTGTTCATGAGCTTTGCTCTTGTGTTTCTCCGTGTTCACTTGTTGCAGATACGGAATAACATCCTTGCCTGCTTCAGGCCAGAATATAAACGGACGACCTTCATGCTCATGGCTGTTTGGTTTTCTATGTCGTTCAGGTAATCTAAAAAAAAGAAAACCTCCTTGCTGTCTACTGTTTCTCGCGCTCCGTTTGGGGCTTATTTAATCTCTCTTGACTCCCACAACTTTCCAGCTACTACGGTCTAACCGTGTGGTTTCCGGACATGATCAAGTACATCCAGAAGCAGGAATATGAATCGCGCACGAAGACCTTCACTAAGGAGCGAGTGGAGCACGTCACGTTTAACTTCACCTTGGAAAACCAAGTGCATCGCCAAGGATACTACTTCAACGACAAGTAATTTTTGTTTCAGGGCAACATTAATTACTTTAATGCCAAAGTAGAGAATATTGTTTTTTAAAATATGCAATAAAAAAAATGTTCCTGATCACAGATTCCTTAACCTGAAGATGAAGTCCATGGTTTTTGAAGACTCCGTGTTTGAAGAGTGCTACTTTGAGGACATCACATCCACGCACACCTTCTTTAGAAACTGCACCTTCATTGCCAGCTTGTTTTATAACACAGGTAAATATGACTCCTCGTGTGCAGGAGCACTAATGAACATTATAAACTTGCTTTCCATGACTTTCCATAGGTACGTAGCAGATCATGCACTATATGGCATTCCACATCTCTTAATCTGTGAATTCAGGTGCTTTTAGTCTTGTTGCCACCGGTGTGTAAAATTAAGCAAAGCAAAGTGGAAGTTATAGTGTGGGGTCATCGAGCGCTGAGACACAGAGTGCTTAAAAGTCATTAACATCAGCACCAAATCTGTTCACCAGGAGCTTCACGGCGTGGCTCACCATGGTCGGGCAGCCTCTATCTATCTATCTATCTATCTATCTATCTATCTAGCTATCTAGCTATCTAGCTATCTATCTAGCTATCTATCTAGCTATCTAGCTATCTAGCTATCTAGCTATCTAGCTATCTATCTAACAAATCCTCAAATGTGAGATTCTCTGTTCATTTAGCTGATGGTTTCACCTGACAGATAAATTATGTGAGAAATGCTTACATTTCATCTTAAAGTCAAAACAAAAGGCATGACACGGTGCGAGTGATCGGGCTGTCTGTACAACAGCACCCTGTCAGGAAGAATAAAACAGATGTAAGAATGTGCTGAATGGCTGATCAGAACCAGAAATTCCCCGTGTGCGGAGACCAAATCGTTTAAAAAGCAACTGAGCCGCGTGTGGTTTGGATTTCCGATTGTGCTTTAAATCAGCACGTCACATTCAGACCTGGGAAACATGTGAGAAACTAAAGAGAAACGGTTCCTCTGCTAGCATACTGCGGCTATCCGTCTCAAGCTGTGGCAGATTTATTCAGCTTCAGTTCTTCTGCAGCTTTTACGGCAGCTGTAGCTTTCTCCCCGATGAAGCCAGCAACGCATTCTTTTATGTTTGTGTCATTTGTGCATCTAAAATTTTACGATCGTTCAGCACTTTTATTGCAGACTCCGTTTAATGAAACTGTTATTGATTAAGAAGCCTGTCAGAACTAATCCCCTTTATCTTCTACAGAAATGTCTCCTGACCTTTGCTGTCGTTTTTGTGACGATGGGAGATGCTGTCCTGGATGCTGCTTTCGTGTTTTGCCCCTATTAAAAACAGATGCTTGTGTGGTGGCTGCTGTAATGTTCTGGCTTCTTTTGCTAAGGGATTATTTAATCCCCTCCTTCCCAGTTTGAGGAAAACTGATCTTTTATTTGGTTTGGATTGGGTCAGACATTCTTCGGGACGTGGCGTAAATCTTTTATATTTTTTATGCTCTAAACAAAAAGTTAAGGTTGTATCTTTTACTTAGCTTTTCTTCTTTAAATCAGAGGAGAAACATGCAGAGGAGTTTCTTTCAGCTGAGGAGAGCTTCTTTGCCCAGTGGAAATCACAGATGTTCACAAATTTATGAAGTTATTTAATCATTTTCAAATTTTTTTCCCTCCCTTTACGCCTTCAGATTTATTCAAATACAGACTCGTCAACTGCAAACTGGTCAACAGCACGTTTCTCCACAACAAGGAGGGCTGCATGCTCGACTTCAGCGACGACTTCAACAATGCCTACATGATCTACTTTGTCAACTTTCTCGGCACCCTGGCGGTGTTGCCTGGCAACATCGTCTCGGCTCTATTAATGGATAAAATTGGGCGGTTAAGGATGCTGGGTAGGTTAGTCTAATCTGGGTGGAGGATTCAGTTATGAGTGCAGAGGCGACTCGGTTTAACGTAACTACTGCTCCCTCTTTTTACACAGCTGGGTCCAGCGTCATATCATGTGTCAGCTGCTTCTTCCTGATGTTTGGAAACACCGAGTCCGGGATGATCGCCCTCTTATGTCTATTTGGTGGCATCAGCATCGCCTCGTGGAACGCCCTGGATGTGATAACAGTGGAGCTCTACCCCTCGGATAAAAGGTAACACGAGAGCAGATGTTTCCACTACTGCTGAGGTTTCTGTTTTCTGACAGAGTAATACTGTCTGTCTGGTTGCACTTTCACTCATTTTGTGTTGTTATAAATGCCGTCCAAAAGTGTCATTTCAGGGTTGTTATCCTTTAAGAATTTGAATTTTTATTTGTAGTTTCTTTTCTGGAGAGAGAAGGATCTTTATGGAGGTGGACTCGTTTCTGCTGAGTGATACCAGAATTTTTACCAACAAATCTGCTGTGGATGGCAAAAGTTTGAGACGCCACATCAGTGTTGTTTCTCAGTCACCCAGCTCACGCCTTGAGCCTTGAGAGCTTGAAAAAGAAGGCAGCTAGACTTCTTTAGGTTTGCAAAGATGTTTCCCCTCCCATCCAAGAGGCTTCTTCAGTTCTAAGAAACAGTGCTGAGTCCAGGTCTTTGAAGGGGCTTGTCCTCTTTGGATGTGATACTGAGGGTTGTTGACCCACTGAACGTATGGGTCATCACATGAGCCAAGGTGTGAAAACAGGTGTGGGTCTTTACAATCGTTGAGGATTTAAGGGTCAAAGCACTCTTAACCCTCAAGGTGAGGTCACCCAAGGCAAAGTGTGAGTAAGGTTTGAGATCTATAAAGGCCACTTAAATCCCCCTTAAGGACCTTTGGGATTCACTTTTAAAAGCACTCGCTCAAGTTGAATTTGAATTTAGGGCGATCGTGGCTCAAGAGTTGGGAGTTCGCCTTGTAATCGGAAGGTTGCCGGTTCGAGCCCCGGCTTGGACAGTCTCGGTCGTTGTGTCCTTGGGCAAGACACTTCACCCGTTGCCTACTGGTGGTGGTCAGAGGGCCCGGTGGCGCCAGTGTCCGGCAGCCTCGCCTCTGTCAGTGCGCCCCAGGGTGGCTGTGGCTACAATGTAGCTTGCCATCACCAGTGTGTGAATGGTGGATGACTGGTTGTGTAAAGCGCTTTGGGGTCCTTAGGGACTAGAAAAGCGCTATACAAATACAGGCCATTTGGCTCTTTATTAAAAATATTGAATTGGCATATTTTTTATGAAGCGAAAAGCAAATCAAACATAGTAAAAGAAAAAAGTAAATTAAATGCTTCTAAGACCACTATATTAACCCAAATACACATTTATTCAAGGTCTTTAAAAATATGTTTTCTTTTAACATCCATCCTCTGCCCTGGGTCCTGGTTGTGGATTTGGAGGTACCAGTTCTCATTCCTGCCGCTTCACATTTTGCTACAAACCGAGCCACTGCATGCTGGAGGCCACCCCTTGATGAAGCCGGATAAACCACTTCATATGCAGGGATTGGAGAGATGATTCTGGGGCCGCAAAACTGGAAACCCTCATCCGCTTGGCTTCACTTAGAAATTATGTCAATAAAATTTATTAGCAGAATCGGTGTTGGCCAGTCCTCCTCTAGAGGCTCTTCATGTCATGTCCTGGTGGGATTCATATAAAAGTGTAGTTGTGTGTGAGAAAGAGGAAAGTTTTTTTTCACTTTGATTATCTTAAATATGGCCTTAATAGGTCAAATATGAAGCAGTGAGTGATAAATACTGTTAAAAACCCTCCTTACCGTGTGTGTGCGTGCTTGTCTGTGTGTCCCTCTCTTCTTGTCTCCAGGACCACAGCGTTCGGCTTCTTGAATGCCCTCTGTAAACTGGCGGCCGTGCTGGGGATCAGCATCTTCCAGTCATTTGTGGGCATCACCAAGGCCATACCCATCCTATTTGCGGCCGGCGCCCTCGCCGCCGGCAGTTTCCTTGCCACAAAGTTGCCCGAAACGAGAGGCCAAGTGTTGCAGTAAAGCCGACGACCAGCAGAGGGCAGCAGAGTCCAGCTGGCGTGTTTAACAACTAACAACATCCCTGAGAGCTTCAGCTCTGCTGTCACATACCAACAAAAACAGACTGCCATCCCCATTGTAAGCCCAGAATCCTTTGAAATGTGGATTGCATCATTCAAAGAGGAGAACACACAGAGGTAGAAAAAGATGATGTTATATTTGTGATCACTTAATTTCCGCTGCTTTGTCAGGTATTCAAAATATTCAGAAAAAGAATCAGATATCTTATGGAAGAGCCACTCTTAGAGGGTGATAATGTGCTCCCACAGATGCTCAGTGACACAGAACGATCACATGATGAGAGGAAACTGATTTAAAAAAGCCATTTCTGAAGGAACGAGAATGATTTAGTCAGTGTATGTGGTGAGTTTTCCGTTTTTCTTTCTCGTCTGTCCTCGACCTCAGTGACTGGCGTACAGTGCCTCTGTTTAATGTGCTGTGACGTTACTGGAACAGTTCAGTTTACATTTGCATCCAGACTGTTGCTCATAGACTTGCTTGCAAAAGTTCTCAAAATGAATTTCAGGGTGAACATATTTTCTGTTAAAAAAACAAAAAAAACTTTCCCATGACCCTCGATCACTGCCTCCTACTGAAGCCTGACCTGCTGACCGCTGTTATTCTCTACCAAATATTGTTAAAACATTCCAGTGAGGCTGCTGTTACTCAGACACAGAGAGCCGAGGTGCTTTTTCTCTCCCTGAGTAATTCCAGTTCTCTGCTCAGAGCCTCGAAATGCAGGCAGGCGAAGACGCATTTCACAGGATTCTCTGTTGTAAATGGGAATAGTTTGATCCAGTTCCTCTGTGTTTGGTGTCAAAGCTGATGTTTTCCCTCCGTGTCGTGTGGCAGTTTGATGATGTTTTCGAGGAACGTCTGTGGGACGGATTTTGGTCAAGTGCTAAACTGTGAGAGCAGATACTTGTGGTATTTGCCTAAATTAGTGGTGTGTGTATGTGTGTGTGTGCGCATGTTTTTGTTTGTACTCTGATTTATTCATTTACATCTCTGTGTTTCATGCAAATGACAGTGTCATTTGCGTCAGTGGGAATTTTACTTGTCCAGCAGCGGTTTGAATAAGCAGTGTGGCCACACATTATCAAGGTACCTTAGAGGTGTAACTATTGTAAAAACTAGCCTGAAATCTCCACGTAAACACCCACAGTATCCTGCCACAAAAGCATCTTCTCAGTGCCCTTGCTAATGCCTGTAAAAGGTGTAATGTTTAAGGCTTGTTCAGATAACTAATAAACAGCACAATGTTTGTGCGGTACTTTCGGCGGCTACCTTGTTTCCCACACCAGATGGATCTGCACGTTTGATCTGGCACAGATTTTACACCGGATGCTGAGGCTGGGTTTGTGTCTCCTCCGGGTCTCAAGGACAAGGACAGGAATCAACATTGTAGTAATAATTTCAGTTTTCTTTATTTTTTCTTCATGATCCCTTCAGGATAAAGCAATCAGGCCTGCGGTAAAATCAATTATATCTCCATTATTATTATCTTATTCATCCGCTCTAAAGGAAAAGCAACATATGAACCAAAACCCTGGCTTTTAAGAATTTAAGATCCCTGTTATCCTTATTGTACATGTAGTGTAGTTCACCTCCAATCCATATTAGAATTAGTCAGAACATAAGTTATCTGATTGAATGGGAAAGCTAATTCTTGAAGTCGAAACAACGAAAGGAGACTGATTTAGTTCTTTTGTTTGCTGTATTTTTTTTGTTGGGGATCAAAACACGCAAACAAAGCAGTCTTCATTTACCCAAGAAAAAACTGCATCATAAGCACAAATCAAATTGGAAAAGAAGCTGTTAAAAAAGTGAACAATTAGACAGTGTGGCAAGAGAAACAAGAATATAATTTTATTTTAAGGGCTCCTGATCAGACATTCCTTCACTGCGTCCATTCCCGCTGGGAAAAGATGAAAATTTGTAACTCATTTTTATTTCTTTCGTCTTTAAGGGTACGCAGGCTCTTAGTTTACATGTAAAAACCTGCTGTGACCTCATCTCAAGAATCAGAATCACCCTTAAAGCGAAGCTGATTGTGTACACCTTCATTCTGTAAACATATGACAGTATTTTGTGTACTATTTGTGTGCTGACAATCAGTGAGAGAGTGTGACATGTTGACCGAAAAACGTCCTCTGGATTGTGTGTATATGTGTGTTAGTGCTGTTATCAGCCCCCTCTATAGTAAACAAATACCCTTGTTCACTTATGGTAGCTTAGCTTAGCAAAAAGGCCTGGACATGATGGGGAACAGCTACACTGGCTTTGCTGTTTCTCCTGTTAAACTAAGCTAAGCTAAGCTAAGCTAAGCTAAGCTAAGCTAACTGCCTGCCAGCTGTAGCTTCATATTCAGCATATAAAGACATGAGAACATTATCTTCTCACTAAAGAATGCAAATGATACTATCTCTAAAACCTATTTCTTTGAAATCTTTCTTCAAATCTACATGCTGAGGATCATACCTGAGGGGTGTACTACAAGGTCAGGGCGAGATTAGCACATTAGCAAGCTACGTCAAGCTAAAAGTCATCAGTTTGTCATAATGATCTGATAACGTTTATGATTGGAGTAGGGAGGACACTCATAGGTATCATTTTGTGCAGAAGAGCTGTACCTGTAAAACCCCCATTTTTATGTTTATGAGTGCACAAAGACCATGAAGCGGAAAGCCCAGCTTACCAGAGAAAGTTGATAACCTCCATTATGATACACATTATCTCCAGCTGGGGCTTAAGCCAAAGAAAGCCTGGCTATGTTTAACTTCCTTTGTAGTACACCCCTCCGTTGTTTGCTGTTTGTGTACAAAGATGTATGTGTTTAATGAACAGATTTGTCCCATCTTGTTCCTGTTGGAAAGACTGTTTGGATGTATGTGTGTCTGTGTGCGTCTGCTGACTAAATCGTCTGTCACATATTTTTCTACTTTTTTCTGTTGCGATTCTGTTTTCATCCCTGTGATGATTACAGCTCAGTTGGGGACCACGGAATACATTTACACTATGAAAAGAAAAAAAAAGACCTATATATGCAGTGTAGAAATCAGTGTGTCGTTCTTCATAACAGACTCGGGTGCTCTTTTGCTGACACAGCCTTTGAAACAAGTCCCTTGAAAGGCAGCCAGAAATAACACACAGTCTGCTCCTCAGTTTTAGAAACACGCAGAAAAGGGAAAAAAAGAGAAAGGGATCGCATCTTAAATTCATAAAGACGGCTTCACCCCCTAAACCTTCTGTATTCAAACGACTGTAACGCATGTTCGTTATCGTATTGTCTGACTTTCTTGGACGTCCTGTATGCCAGCTGTTTTTGTCCAAAGCAAGAACTAGTGTTTTCATTGTCGTATGATGACATAGATTTGTTGCTTGCAGTGATTGTTCTTAATCAAAGTGGGGTGAAAACTGGTGAAACTCGAGTATGTGTTCTGAAAGTGAGTTAGTGGTGACTGTGCTCCTTGTTTACCTTGGAACCAGGTAACCTTTTTTGTTTTTATTATATATATATGTGAATATACATGCTTGAATTTCTGAGGAGGTTGCTTGTGATCTTGAAGATAAGCTTTGGCTGGAAAGGGAAGGACACTTTCAATGTGAAGTGCATGAAAAGTGTAATTTGACATAAACTTGTTTGTTTATGTGAGTCTGTATTAAAGGGGGAGGTTTAAGTAATCAAGTCAAACTCAAAAGGACCACGGGTTTAAACTCATCAAAAGAGCGCCCTCTGTCAACTTGAAGCTCCTGTCCAAACTGTAAAAGTTTACGGATTAATGTTGCTACGTGTAGAATTTCATTCTATATACATATAAATATAAATAAATAAATATATATATAGATATACATGTATAAACTATAAAAAGAGTTGCTGATTTGAGTTTTATCCATAAAGGAAGGCAGAGATATTGGGTGCGGTCAAAATAAAGCAAACACCAGCCTGATACGACTTCCCCTTAATGACGGCAGTCTTTTAAAAAGTGTGGGAGAAACACCTCCCGCATCTGCAGAGAACTGCAAGGATCCATCACTGTAGTTGGAGCGATGGCGTTTCTGTTTGCTTTCTTTAGTTTGACTCTGAGCTGTTTTATTATCTGATAAAAAGTTCTACTCTAAATGTGAGTTCAATTCAAGATTCAGTGTACTGTGTGTAGAAACTGTAGATGTTTGTATGTGCAAGTATGCAAATTGTGAAACAAAAAGATTACGGAAACAGTTCCAAAAAAAGTTTGGTATGACACAAAACTTTATTGTGTGTTGTCTTTGTGTTTTGTAAATCAAGACTGAACATCTTGGTAAATTCAGTATTTATTACTTCTGGATATTGAGAATATTTTAGTGATGCTGAAAAGGTGCTGTATTTATTTTATGTGAGAGTTGTCCATTATGCTGGGTTTTGCACTTTTGTGCTATTTATCCAGTTCTTTGAATAAAATCATAATGGAAATAAAACTTGAAGAAAGAAAACCAGTGTCCTGTACTCCATTTCACACCATCAGATAATTTTCACTTCATTTAGACGTTTCTCTTTGTACTCTTGCTTCTCTGCATTTTGCTGGAAAAGTGGGAAATGGGATTTATTGAAATGTGCAAACATGCATTTAAGTACAGTAAAAACAAGGGCAATCCATGATTGTGTTCCACTGTGCGTTTTTCTATCCAGGTATGGATAGTCACTGTCAATCAGACACTTTACAGATGACGTAAATTCCATCAAATTTGACTAGATCTCCAAAACCTTTGACGGAAACCACGACTGTGTTTCATAGCTGGCTGTATACACACACTGTCATATACAGTGATGACCTCGGCACATATTGATTTAAACTTAAAGAATTTCCTCTTTCGTTTCAGTTCTTGTGTAATGTGGCATGCCCCAGCCTTTTCTCCCCATTTCCCTTCCTTAAGAATGGCTTCTTCACAGCCACCCTTCTATGGACACCATTTCTGATGAGGCTTCAGTGAACATAGATGGAGCATCTCTCAGGCGTGTCCGGTATTAGACATGGGTTTCAGATATTGTTCATCTGTAGTTGATAGGGCTCAAGACCACTTTAAAAACAATGTCTCCTAAGACGCAAAATATAGTGAAATAAGAGATTTTAAAATTACATCTTGATGTTTTCATTATTGTAAACATGTATTTTGTTTTGCTGGTAAGATTAATAAAACTAATTTTGCAATAAGCCATTTTAAATGACATTTAAAAGGCAAAACCTCAGAAATGAATGTTCAAAATGGCCTATAAGGATACATCAAAAGAAATTGAGAAAAGAAATAGAACAGATTAAGCCATAAATATAGAAAAAGGGTTAAGTACAATTAGTGAAAAGGTGCCCCCAAAAATGTGATACCAAGTCAAAAGCCAATATAAAACAAATATTGAACAGTTAAACTGTTAAAAAAAAATATAAATTCTGCATCAGTTGCATATTTCAGCTTATATTCAGATTGCAGAGCTTCCAGCAGCTCAGGCTGTAAAAACTAAAAGAGACCTCTGCAGATATTTTGAATGATGATCAAATACAGCAGAGTTATGAAGAGAGAGATCGTTAGCCAAACAGATATAAAGAACCCACAGAGCAGAGCAATCCAACAGGAAGCAGACAACAGCTGTGGGTTCAGACACTTGAATTAAGCGCAGCATTATCCTCATAATATCAGATACCTGGAGGTCAAAGCGGTATTGTGATTGATACTTTTTCATTTTCCAGTTGGGAGCAATGCTCTCCATGATGATTTAGAACTAGTTTGTGTCTAATTGAAGAAAAACATTGGCTGGGGCTCATGAATCACTGATGGGGTACGTTTGATGTCACTGCTGCTGGTGCAGGTTCAACATCTGAACTCAGGAGTCCTGTTGTACCTTTTCTAAACCTGCAGTTTAATGGAGCCCTGTTTTACAGAAACTGGCTGCAGTTGAGTCATAGGTGCAGCAGGGGCTGCTCATGAGAGTCAAGAGGATTGTGGATCTAAAGAGCCCATTTAAACTTGCCTCAAGCCACAAAACAGTTTCTTTAAATGCCACATTTATACAATTTGACAAATTGAAATAAAATGAGACTGGGAACTGTCAGCTGGCATTTATATAGCAAATTCCCAGCTTTAATTACTAAAGGGCAGGGAGATCCTGGGTTGACCAGTGTTGTATAATGTATATCCATAGAAGTGAACAAATTCAGATTTAAATTTATAGCAAATTCATAAAGTTTCCAACATGTTAAGATGTCAGTGATCCAGTTTATTTAAACAAAAAACAAAATATAAAACAAAGACCCAACTTAATCAAACAAAAGGAAAACAAGCATGGTGAGCGATGCCACACTGGTTGTTTCGGTTCCGAGCCATCTTGATGTAGCCTTCGTCTCCAAACTGTACACCCCAGCTACAAATAAAGCAGCTGCTGTCATGAAACTCAAAATTAAAGGAAACAAAGAAACCCAGTCCATCAACCAGTGACTCAGAACAACCTGTTTTTGACGAGCCAGAAGTCCTGTCCTTTCTCTCTGCCGTAACCCACAACCAGCACGCCATGGTTCACTTTCTGGGTACACATGTTGTCCATGTACACGCCTGTTGGTTACAGGAGGGCAAATATAGGAACTCTGACTAAGATTCAATCTGTGCATCATTTTAATAAAGTAACCAACCACGATGGTAGAAGCGAAACTGTGGCCTGGAAGCATCAACTGCAACAGCGATGGGCCCCACAAGAGCCACTGCCTCCTTCAGTGCAAACTCATCCCCCCTTGGTAAGCAGCAATACCCTGAGCAGTTAGCAGCCCGATACAGTGGGTTGTACTTGCACTGATTATGCTGAAAAGTAGTAGACTGTTTAACATGAGAAACATCTAGGTTTAATCACAGTCTACCTGCAAGTGGAAGCTTGACTCACCTTTCCGATATAGGGGTAAGCATCTTCAGAAGCAATGCCTTGGTTAACAACATACTTGAAGGCAGGTACTATTAAGCCACCATTGCACCCCCGGTTGCCATAATCTGTGGTGCAGTCAATCAGGTTTTGAGCGCTGAGAGATCTCAAAATGCCTGTAGACTTTTTAAGTTGCCCCTCAAGAGCTCCAGCCGCACTGAAAGCCCAACAAGCGCCACAAGAACCCTAAAAGAAAGGTTACTCGTGACATGATTAAAAATGTAGAGGTTTCCTGTTACATGTGTGGATATCTGAGGGGACCAGCTAGGACCTCACCTGCTTTTTGACTGGAGTTACCAAGCCTTTATCCCTCCAGTCCACTGAAGCTGGTAGAGAAGCATTGACTTTTATGAAGCTCGCAGCAACCATCTCCAGGTCAGATGGTACCCTAGTGCCCATGAGAGTGCCAGCGATCTCCATGGGGGTCTGCAAGCGTGGAGAAATTACACACCATTCACCATCAAGTGATGTAAAGTTTGAGGAGAATGCTCACCATGTCTCCGAGGTGGTTGATTGCCAGTTCGTAAGTGTGCAAATTCAGTGAGGCTTCCAGGTTGTGAAGATTAATCAGTTTCAAGTTCATTTCCCAAATCAGTCTGCGTCCCAACTCCTCAATCTGGAACATAAATGTTACACCAAATCTTCTGTGGCATATATGTGCACAGTAACTAAGCCAGAGTTCAGACATCCAAACAGCTTGATGTTAATGAAACACAAGGTGGGTTCTTGTTCTAAAATAAAGCTTAAACAGACCTATATGCTTAAACCAAACCCAGCTAAACACTTATATAGATGAAGACATGAAACATTCCTGTTAAAGTTACAGGATTCAGCACCTTGGTATTTTTCCACTTTTGTTTTACCTGGTGAGAATATACTTTCTTATGCGTTTTCTTCCATAGCTCCCAGTGTCGATCTGTTTGCGAACTGATATCGGCCACTGCAAATCCACACAAGACTGTGAAAAGCAGGCGCTGAAACATTTTCAGAATCTGGGAAAAGAAGAAGACGGGTTCCAACCACAGTGTGACAAAGCAAACAGCCTGCAGTGTGGCTCCTGCTTTTAAGTGGACTGCAGCAGCAGAGTTTACAGGTGGTATCAATTTACATTTAAAGTCAGCTGAAGTATGTTAGCACCGAGAGGGGGTGTTATATGAGCCATCCACATAAATTGTATGCAGTTCAGATTATTTGACAAACTTGAAAAAACCCCATCAAACCTGCATTCACTGATTTACTCAGGTACTTGGTAAAAAGCAGTGAATGCCTGCCATGTCCATCCCTTTGTGGCCACAGTGCACTAGTGTTGAAAAATACTCCAGTAAAAGTTAAAGTAGTGATTCAACCTTTTCACTGAACTGAAAGTGGAAAAAGTATCGGCTCTGAAATGTACTAAAAATAAGAAGTAGTTCGTTGGAGGAGATTTTTACTGGCTATTTTTATACAAGCTTACTGAACATTGTGCTATATTAATGTATTAATGTAACGATAAAATAATATCAGCTTGATAATAACAGCTTGAATCATTTATGTAGAACAGGATGAGAGAAAAAGAAGAAAAAAAAAGCTCTGTTTTCTTTGCCTCTAAATGGGAAAAGGAGTCCAGTCTGGGGTTAAAGTGGAATCAAAGGGTGGGGGAACTAAAATCAGTTGTAATGGCTCAGTGTGGGGAAGAGAATCACAACTCACTTTTTACTGAGAACTTCAGTAGATTTTCTTTAAAGTACAGGCTGTGATCAGCTGCTCTTTGCAGATGTACACACCTGAATTCAACCAGATGTGAGCAGATGTTTCATGAGTTGTCCTGGCTGATGCCCGTTCTCTACACTGACTGTATACCGTTCATGCTGTCTGTATACTGTGCACCAGCCACGTACTGATTTAAAAGCATGTGGGCTTACATCTAAGCTTCACATTTCCAGTTTAAAAGATAACACCGAGCAGTCCTTATTTGATTAACAAATGCAGGGAGTAAAAGCAATAAGTTTTCAGGAAAAAAAATAGTCAAGCAAAGTTCGGATACCCCAAAATTCTACTTTAGTACTACTTCTACTTCCAACTTTAATTAAAACTGATCAGTTGACAAAATCTTTATTGTTATTGAGTGTAAATTTGTGCTTAGAAATGTACAAATAAGCGAATGTGCATAAAGTATTTTTACATGGCACAAAATGTTATGAATCTTTCAATTTTTTCACTTGTCGTTGTCACTATTATTAAATCTGTGAGGTTTAACATGCAGAAAGTAAATAAATACATAGAGTACAATGTAGAAACAACACTACTGAATGAGAGCTGAAATATTTCAGTCTCAGACATGTGTGAGTATGTAGTCAGACATTTAAAGTACAGTGATATTGTTTTTTTTTTTTATCAGATGAAAAGTTATTTCAGTTGGTTGGACTTTAAGCATCTTTAGCGCTGATGTGAAATAAAACACAGTGACACTGACTGGTCTTTAATAATAATTTAAATAAACTAAGTTGAGTTAGTGGGCCATATTTTCACACTGTAGGGTAGACTGGAAAGCTGGCGATGCCGCAGAGATTATTCTTGTTCCGGGCAAGCCGAATGTAGCCTCCTTCTCCCCATGCAGTTCCCCAGCTGAAAAGACAAAAACATTCACATCTAGGTTCAAAATATCGGAAATATTTTACAGGTTAACAATCGGAGGTACGTTTACCTATTTTTCACCAGCCAGTAGTCTTGTCCTCCATCTGTGCCATAGCCCACGAGCAACACAGCATGATTGATCAGCTTTGGGTTGCAGCTTGGTACGTTGTATAAACCTAATAAATGCAGGCGTGTAAGTTAAAAAAAATACACAAGGTAAAAAATATGTGGTACAGCCGGTCAGTGCTAAGGGCCTCCCAAGGGCTGACAAACCTAAAATTATAGCAGCGGTAATGTGCAAACTTTGCAATGAAAGTAGGAGATGTATGACCTCCCTGAGGGGGCTCCACCAGTTTCAAGTGAATGAATGCATGATTCTGTTTAAGCCACTTAACGAAAATCAAGAGGAGTTATCCCTCTGGGATTGAAGCCTTTTTTCTGGATCAGAGACCAGCAAATAAAGTAAAACTCACTAGAATCTCCTGCACCGTGAAGCTTTTAGCCTCCTCACCTCCACTGTACATATGAAAAGATTCCAGCATGGCATTCACGGCCACGGAGATCGGCCCCACTGATGCCAAAACTTTCTGCAGCATCTTCTCATCTCCTTCTGGAAGGACGCTGAATTTGGAACAGTAGCCAGCCCGTCCCTGGACAGAATAGCGGCATTTCCCATTCTGCAAAGAGAAACGAGACATTTATGAAAAGACAGAAGCACTGTCAGTCTTTCTGTGTTTGTCCACCCTCTTTCCTACAGTTCTCTTTGTGCGTGTCGAGGATGACCTTGTGTTCGTAGGGATAAAAGCTCTCCGAGTCAACACCTCCGTTGCGAATGACGTAGCTGTAGGCTTTCGTGATGTAGCCTCCTCTGCAACCCAGGTTTCCGTCCTGAGTGCTGCAATCCACCAAGTTCTGCGGACTCAGGGAAACAAGTGTACCAGTGTGCTTCTTCAGTTGGCCCTCGAGAGCTCCCAAAGAGCTGAAGGCCCAGCATGACCCACACAAACCCTTAGAAAATAAAAACAGTACAAAGTGTCACTTTTGTCACGGGATCGCGTTAATGATTTTCCTTTTCTTACAACACCCGATCTCACCTGGTTTCTGACAGGACCCACCAGGCCCTCTTTCCTCCAGTCCACATTCGCAGGTAACGGTGAGTCACTCACGTCCTTAAAAGTGCCATTTGTGAAATTAACGGTCTCCTCCAGCTTCAAGCCGTTCAGATTCTCATTGATTTCCTCAGCTGTCTTGGGGGCAAAGAAATGGCAGCGGTAAATAAAATGAAAACACCATTAAATATCACCTCTGCACAACAGCATTGTTTTCACTTGACACCGAATGTATAAACACAGCACCGATCTCGGGTTGCGAATGTGTTTAAAACCCATCATCGACTGAAAAGCAAGCTGAAGCATTGAAACAGCTCCACTCAGTCAGTTCATTCTGTTCCCATCCACTTTGAATTTTGCACTTGGCATTAACAAATCTCTAATGGAGATGCTGGCTGTGTGTTTGACCTTCCAACTATCACCCCTGTCTTTGACGAAGAGCATAAAATACAAAAGGTGAACGGTCCAGCTGTAGCAGATATGGCTCTGTGTCATTTTATTTCTCACAGCAGCTTTAAAAACAGAATCTTTCTCCTTACATGTGAGTGTATTTCAGCTGCCTCACATTATTCACCCAGGCAACTGCAGCACTCTGTCCTCTGATAGCGGGCCAAAAGCTTGCATGTGTCCCAAACATTTCTGCCAGTTTCCTGCAGAGAGCCAACACGCCACGCCCATCCAGGCTTTACCGCTCGGGCTTCCTGGATTTTTAATCAAAAACAAAACCCCTCTAACTTAGAATACAATTCCTCTCTTGTTTCTGCACTTGTTTTTTAATATTAACAATCCATTCATTCATTTAAAATATTATCCATGCAGGAACAAGAAATCAACACTGTAACACTGACATGTTGCTCTAATATTTTAAGGTTTTTGCACTTTGTGTTTCTGGTCTTTCAATGTGCAAAACATTTGATGAAACCTTTTTCTTGAGATCCTTTTATTTAAAATACAAAGTCCACATAAAATGCAAGGTTGTCAGACATTTGCACATAAGCAAAGTATTTCATTTAATAGTTTATGCAAGTCCAACCTGAACCAGAACGGCACAGAACCAACCAGTTTGCAACCCTTATTCTATATTCTGTTATATATTTCCAGCATTACATAAGGGTCCTTATGTACATAAAAATAAGCATCTTGATTGTCCGGGCTGGCCCAGCCCATACTGGATTAAATTAATCTGATTGTATGAAGGGAGATTAGAGCCGCTCTATAGGTTAGGGTTTAAATTAAGCCTGCGGGGATGCAGTTTTATCTGCAGATTAACAGTGGTGGTCATTCACGTCCATCTTGCACCAGCAAAAGATCAATGTGCATGAATGCACTTGAGGTTCTGATGGCAAACATATGGTTATGTTTACACGGTGTTAAAATGTTTGTATCCACCAGAGGTCTCTCAGATACGCTCCTGTGAGTGATCGCTCCAGTCTGGCGCTGCAATTCGTGCTGTTCAGTTTAACAGAATTGCTAAATGTTTTCAGTTTGGTTGATTCTTCTTCTTGTTGTCAAAATTTCTGCCATCATCAGCATAACTATACAATGATTTGGGAGTGTGATTTGTGTAATAGTTACATATTGGTTAATACATGAGTGAGACAGACAAGGAGGGAGAGAGAGAGAGACACCAATCTGTGTAGAGATTTTTGACTTTATACTCGATATGTGGCTCAAAGTGTGGCTGCAAGGCCATAATAGTCATAATATAGACTGGAGGCAACTCAACTCCCTAATATTAAAACATATTTTAAAAACTTGATATTCAAATATGTTCAAAATGTGCCCCTCAATATACTGAGATTAAAATATAACCCAGAGATTTTCCTGTGCAGGGAAATACAGGGAACAAAAATCATAATAATAACTAGACAAATTACTGTTATTATTCTGACCGATTTCAGCTGTACAGTACATGTTTGTTGTAGTGGTTTTGCCACTAAATGCTGCAAACTGAGTGTAGACACTGCAGGGTATGCGGACCACTGCAGAGCAGACTCGGACTGAGAAGGACCAGTAAGATCAGACTAAGATGGATGGTTTTTGTCAGGATGAGAAGACAAATGATGACAATGAAGTTTCTGAATGTTGTTTACAGTCACTGTATGAAACCAGCTGTGGTTAAAGTCAGCAGTTACTACCACAATCGTATGAGCGCCTATTCTGTAGTAGATCTCACTTCTACTTTACATAGAATTCATGGTAATGCCAAACCAAGTGCACCGATCCTGCAATTGTTTGTTCCTCTTCTGTCTTCTACTGTTGCTACAGCTTTGTTCAGCACTCAGATATTTTTCCTGTGGTCACTCCAGACTGCAGATAGTTTTAGATAATTTAATGCAATTCTATCCATGAGCCTTGAAGCTGTTTTAATGTTACTAATGAACGACTGCACAATAACAGATTGTTATCTAGATTTAGAAAGTTTAGACATCCTGTCTTCTCAGCAGCAGCATCCTACCATGTCAGCCAGGTGGTTCAGTCCCAGCGTGAAGCTGTGCTTCCCTGCCGAGGCTTCCTGATTGTGTCTCAACACCAAGTGTACGTTCTTCTCCCATACTGCCCTCCTGAAGTCGATCTCGGTCTGAAACACAAATCCGCGCTGTCTCATTCAAACCTTGCTAGAATATGTGGTAACAAAGACAAAATGTCTGTTTAAGTCCTACCTGATTATCATAAACTTTTCCATGTTTGGTTTTCCACTCTTCCCACAATTTGTTCACAGCGGGCGAAGAACAGGCGAGGACCACGAAGGCCAAAAGCAACACAGCACACAAAGTGTGCATACTGAAAAGGAAGGGGAAAAAAGAAAAGCAGATGTAATCCTTGTTTAATCAGCTAATCACTTCAGTGGTTCAGTTCAGTTTATTTTTATTTCAAACATATAGATTCACCAACATTTCATAATATCATTCCATGCAGTTGTTTGAAAAGGAGTAGGCAAAAGTATATACTTATTTAGCCCTACCCCCTTCAGTTTACATCTCAATCATTTCCTCATGATCTAAATTTGAACAACAAAAACTTGCTGCCTTCAACTTAGGCAACTTGGATTGCATTTTGAAATTTCAGTATCTAACTTTCTGTGATTTGGTGTGCACCTGAGGTTACTTTTGGTCTAAAAATGTTGATAATGATAATGTTTAGGAATAATGCAGTAAAAGTATTTTCCTTTTAACTGAAAGATGTGAAAAGTCAGAGCTCTGAGAAGATCTCGGCTCAGGTTTACAAAACTCTACAAGAGAGTCCCAGTATAAACAGTGCGGGAATGTATACAACTCAAACACAGAATGATAAACTCCAGGTTTCCGTCACCACTGAGCCTGAAAATGGTCACGCAAACATAGTAACTCTTTCATACATGAATTATGACAACCTCAATCAGGATTTTTAGGCATCTTTAGGCATGAAAAGATGAATAAAAAATCCTGATTGAGGTTGTCATAATTCATGCATGAAAAGGTGAGATAACAAAAATTACAATGAAACATGTCATACATCTATAGTAGCATTAAACGACCAGTGGGTGGCAGGGTAAGGAGTGGCACATCAGTGCCCGATGTAGTGCTTTATGTGCAAGTATACCATCAACACTGACACAAATACAAGAAATCAGCCTTTGAATAGCTGTCCACTGTAGTGACCACTATGCGTGAAAGGTTAAGCATGATTAGCATTCAGTGCACAAAACCACAACACTGCATTTGCAATGAAACACAGTCTGTAAACAAAAGCAGAAGAGCCTGTAAACATGATTCTAATCTACAGAGCAGACGTCTGAAGATTACTCCATCGCAAAACAGAGAAGTTCAAGCCGTAATCTCTTACTGTAATCTCCCAGCTTCTTTCTCAGTAAATCTTTTCCGACACCATATGATTATTCGCTTACATCCATAACCTTAAACAAGCCATTAATTTAACAAGACATGTAAAAAGAAAAGAGTCACACTCACCTTGTTGCAGAATGACTTCGCCCAGAAAGACAAGTTCACCCGGTTTGAGCACGCTTAGATCTTCACGCCTAAAAAGAGGAAGTTTTATTTCCTGATGCGAGCTTTTATGCATCTGCTCACTGCCTCGTCATGTGAATGTAATTTACGACCAGCTGCAACCACACAAACTAGGCTTCCCGTATGAGAGTTGCACATGGTGAAAGTTAAATGATGAAAATACCCCTGCGTGTGGAGGGAAATACGTGCGAAATGAAAACGTTTCAGAATAAACTGATAGAAATGAAACTGATTTTGTAGTTCAGGGAGATTTTTTATAATTAATCACGACTTTGAATCATATTTTGACGTACTGTAGCTGTTAGCTGAAATGAGAAAAGGGCACATGAGCTTAATTTATTATTCTGCCACAACCAAAAGCAAAATCCAGATTTACTGCCTAATGATGCTAATTTAAATCGAATTACACAGGGTCAGAGCGAGTCTGTTTTGAAAGCTGCAGTTTAATCATTAGGGCTCTTTGCCTTCAAACATGCTGTGGATTTGTAGAAAACTAAAAGAGGCGTATTAAAAAATGCTCTTTCTTTCTGGATTCTTGTTCTGAACGTCGAGCCAGAACTCTTGATCATTCTTCTTCAAATGTTTTTCTTTTATTCTTGAATTTGACGTGAACTCCCTCACGTCTTGTTTTTGTATACAAGTGGAAACAACCACCGGATGCACCATGATCCAGTCATTCAATCTGATGTGGTCTGTGTTGTATCTGTGCGGGTCTCCAAAAAGTACACTGGTCCTTTCAATGCAGAGGAGCAGCTTCTCTACTCTGACATGCAGCAGCCATTCATCTAAAATGTGACTTTTTCTAACAACTACTGGGATACAAAAGAGAGAAGAGTTGTAAGACTACCACAAATAACCGCAAGAAGATGACAGGTTCTCCTTTTCCTCTCATGCTTGTTGTATTTACTTCTTGAGTGTACTTGGTAAAGTTGTATGTAAATAAAGCTGTGGATTCTTAGCTCTGACAGGTTGGGGAATCAATCCCAGCAAGAAAGACTGATGGATCAGCCGATCAGTGAATTCCTTGCTGCACATCCTGCTGTCAGATCTCATGGGGCATGCTGTTTGATCCATTTTAGCTTGCAAGTAGTTGCCTCTGCAAGACACTTTGCAACCCACCCAACCTGAGCTTCTCCATTTCAGGCTGCTTATGCTTCTTCTGTGAGGTGATCCTGTTGCTGACTTTTGAATGTCCAGAATCCATACAAGAAAAAGTAAATTACTGAAGCTGGAATAACTGTCCCATACACTTTGAGCTTTAGTTAGGTAAATAAACTTTCGGTTAGTTAGGTGAGAATCACAAATATCCTCTTTGCTGCACATTCAGATTGTTGTGTTTTAATCCAAAGGTGATCACAGATCACACCCTTCATACACCCTAGGGATGAACCACTGAAAACAGCCCATAATATGTACACTGTATATGTAGATATGTTCTTAAAATATGAAATATACGTCTGTTTACAACAGACTGCGCAGCCCGTCAATGTTATAACATAGCTGACAGGAACACATGGAAAAATGAAGCCGGCCAATACTTGCACAGTGCTTTCCTACTCTGAGCAGCCAAAATGCTTCATTCACCCAGTCACACCCACATTCATCCATCATCATTTTTTTCTATACCTAACCACCTTGTCTAAGATTCATACACACACTTTTATATAGGCAGCCCAGGGTACAACATCCAGCACACTTCGACATATAGACGAGAAGAGCCAAGGATCAAACCTTCAGATTAGTAGAAGACTCTGCCTCTTTCTGCCTCCTGAGCCACAAACACATTTAGTCCTTATTACATCTTGAACAACACATTATAGATATGTTTTTCATGGTTCTTGGGTCTAAGGTGTCCACTGCCTAAGAGGCATTTTAAGTGCATTTTCAGAGATGCAAAAAGGGTCAATGTGAGACCACAATTTAAAACAAACATAAAAAGGAAAAAAATCCACATAGAATTTTTTTTTATATGTTAGTGTGCTCTGCTTATTTTTGTGCATTGACCGATTAAAGTGTCATTAGCAGATGCGAGCTGATGCTGTTGATGATTGTACATTTGTTGGTAAATAAATAGCGTGCCACAAAATCCTCTTAAGAAGACAAACGGATCAGAATGTAAAGAACAGATGTGTGTGCTGATCATCATCGACTTCAACGTGAATAAGTGGATAGTAAACCAAGAGAAGAGGGATTAGTGGTTTGGAGACTGTGGCTATATACCGTGATCTGCACAGCGGAGAGCTGACGAAACTATATGAAGAGAACTGGACAGAAGGACATTATGCAACGTGGAGATCTGAGGTGGCCTTTGCTATTTTTGGTCTCCATCTCTGATCCGGCCTCTTCCTGAATGCCCGGTTGGACGGAGATTTGCTGATGAATGCAGGTTCCTTAAGGTAGCAGATGGTAAGTTCCTGACTCAGCACAAGCTCTTCTTCGTTGGTGATTGTGCATGTTTTGCATCATTACATCTCACAATCATGCAGCTGAGCGGAGAGGGAATTCAACCCCCGACTCAAACACCTGATCGTTTTGTTGGCTTTCGCTGAATCCGGCGAGAGTGCTTTCAAATTTCAGCAAGTTCTTTACAAAGTACAATTAAGAGTGAGGGCAGCGTAGGTGGCTGTTAGCAACTAAAACTCAAAATGCAGAAAATCATTTACACCTGTTATGTTTTCCCAGTTTACAGTCGATTAAAGGAGATTTATTCAGTTACAGAAGGGAAAGGAAAACAGTCGAATCATCTTGCCTCTTTAGCAAGTTTAAATCAGGGAACATGTTATAGTCCACCTCTAATAGTTAACACCAAATAATGATAAGAATTTTGAATCTGCTTCTCTGGCTGCTCGGGAACCTGTGTCACTTCTCATTTTCAGTCTAGCCACTCCTAAACAATGCAGAACAGCTTGTTATGTAATTGAACGGACCATTGAAAAACAGGATTTTTATAATGATAGTGAGACTATAATTAGTTTATTAAATCTAACCATGCAAGTGTCGATTAGTCTTAATTATTGGTTCAATAAATGCATTTAGCTGCTTAAAGTCTCTGCAGAGCTTTTTCTGTTTTGGACATGAAACAGTTGTTTACTGTGATGATGATATTGCTACACTAGTTCTTCGTACTTTCCCGCCTGGTCCCAAAATTTAGCTTCTACCACACTTATAAATAGAAATGACTCTGTTGTTCCAGATCACACTAAACACTTCTCTAACCCTACACGGGTTACTTCAAAGAACGACTTATATACCCCCTGGGATAATTATTAGAGGTCAAGTAATAAATAAAATAAATGAATTAGGAAACACTTAATGTGGGAACTTGATCAATGAAACATTCAAGATGAAAATCTTTACTGACATACAAGCAAGCAATGTATGGAAATAAAAACACAGACCTTTGACTTTGGATTCAAAGTCTCACCAAAAATCAAAAATAAAATTCAACTAGTTTTTTCTACATATTCTAAGGCCAAAAAATTGGCCAACATAAACATAAAAGGCAGTGAGAGACAAACAGTTACACAGTTTCTTCTGGATTTTAAGCTGTAATATCACGAGACGTTCTGAACTAAGTCAAATACCAGAAAAAAACATTAAAATTAAAATTTTACTCTTAGATTTTAATTGGAATTTAAGGAAAATGAAAACCTCGGTTAAGTATTGCCACCACGGTATGTAACATCTAGCACTGCTGCCTCACAGAAACAACATTATGCCTCATGGCCTTAACTCCACATGTGAGGAAAAAAAATAATCCTTGTGTTCGAAGCAGCACGCAAACATCAGTCCACTGTATGAATGAATGGGAAATTACATGAATGGGCACCTCATTCATACTTTTGTAGCCTGCTTTCTTTGAAAGGTCTGCTTTTCCCGCTTTACATTAACATACAAAATTGTCTCCAGTTGTCAAGACAACAACTTAAAACACAAAGCTCAAGGTTGCAGTTTAGTAACAGCAGCAGTTACAGTCCTGCTTGTTACAATAAACCTGATTTTCTAAGAGTCACCATACAAGGTTTGGTTGATTTCCTGAGTTTTTGAGTCAAACTTGCATTAAATTTTAATACTAAGCTGTACATTTACATTTCCCACCTGGTAGAATGATATAGTGTGATACAGGGAACAGCTGTGGGCAAACTGAGTCTGATGTGGAAAAGAAAGCATGGTCATTACACCGTCTCATGGACCTTGACCAATCAACTGTTAGAAATCCCACCTTTCCTAATGTCCCTCCTTTTTCAGGAGTCTTACATTAGTTTTAAACTGGATGAACAGCCACAGTGTTACAACCACAGAGGAACTTGTGGTTAATGTCTTAATCAAACTTTTAAGAAGCCTCCGATGGGGCAAAAGAGTTAAAAAGATATTCCTTTATTTCCAAGTGTGAGTGCTGAAATTCATCCCCATCTGGTGTTACACATAAATCTCTGCATTTGGCTGACCTGTGCCTGCCTCCCGTCATCCAGTGCACTGTGTTGGATGGAGTCCAGGAGCTAGTGCATATAATCCCCCAGCATGCACCAAGCGCCCGCGCGTCCGCAGCCAGGTTGTTGTTGCCATGAGGACAGCGGAACAACAGGAGGACTGAGCTACTGCATCGCGCTTCCCTCAGAGTTTCAGTTTGAGGAATGGGAGCATGAAGCTTTTTTTTTTGGTGATGTGTTTGATTGCTCCGGGAAGTTTCTTGGTACATTTGGATTGGATTTTTGATCAGCACTGACGTAAGGAGGAACTGAGAGACTGGCACATCTACTTTGGGTTTTTTTTTAGTTCTGTTTTCTTCTATTGGTATAAAAGTAGAACAATATGAAACAGAACAATAAAAAAAAGAACAAAGAGCACAAGAAAAGTCATTTGCATGTAAAAATGGAGCTATTACAATGATGAACCCATCAGTCTGAAGAGAAGGTGAGTTGGCTGCTTGCTTTTCCTTTGATTTCTTTACAAACTACTGCAACTCCCTTTTTTGCACCACCATCCTGAGTTTTTCAAACTGCCAAGGCACACCTGTAAACTATTCTCAGTCTCAAGCATGTGCCCTCCCAGAGGAATTCAGGAGGAGTACTGCTCCGTGATTCAATGCCACCGGGAGCTGCCGTCACCACCAGCAATCAGACTCCGCTCCCAAGATCCACGCAGACACCAGTGCTGATGTAAAATTACCTGAAAAGTAGATGCATGCACTCCACTGTGGCGTCTTTATATGGATGTATCATGTGGAAAATGACTGAGGAAATTCTAAGAAAGCAAAGATGACAAGAGTAAAATCAGGATCAGAATCAGCAGGAATGTGAAAATCAGTGCGGCAAATGAACCTTTTTAGGTCCAGCACGTACGAGTACTTTCTTATCTGCAGCCACTTTTGTGAGAGATGTCACAAACATAATGGACATCGTTCTTTCTTTCACACCATCTCTTCTCTTACATGTGCCACGCTCTGTGCAGCTCAGCACAACAACGTGTGAGCCGAGCTGCCAAAACAGAGGGTGGCTTCACACTTGAAGGTGTTGCTTTTTTATCTCTCTCTCTTTCTCGTGCTCTTGGGAATCCAAACAGCACATTTTCTGATGAGCTGCAACGTTCGTCGTATTTACCGACGTGCAACCCAAGTTTAACAGGAATACATCTGTTTACATGTTCACATGTTCAACCACAGAGCCACCATTATGTGTTTACTGGCAACACATTAAGACACTACCTTGGCAGTACTTATGCACCAAGCCTGTGGACAGTGTTTCCTCTAGGCACCGAAATGCTTTTGCTTTTTCCGCCACCTACTGGCGGATGTGGCAAAGTAAAATAAAAATACATAAAACGAGCTTATGATGATTTGAGATTGAAAAAATTTTAGTAGCTGTAATAGGCGTCCTTCCAGTCATGCATGTCTCTGTTATGTGATCACAGTTCTAGGAATAATAAGATCATGACCTTTGTTTTCCATAACTACTGGCACTATGTTTGCTACTGTCTTCAATTATGTAATGTCTGATTGACAACCTTTGCACAGCAGACTATTGTATTTTCTGTGTTTTGTGAAAGCTTTGCGAGACTTTCTGTTACAAACATCTTAAAGAAAATTATAAATAATCAGAATTATTTGTGATCCATAATTCAGCGGCTCTGAACTTTACTAAACCTTTGCCAAAAAAATTTAAAAAGACACTGACGTAAAGTACAGCCACCTTCTAATCAGCTTTCACCAGTCCTTCTTTACAATCTTTGTAAATAATAAACCTTAAATGAGTTCCATCATTTGTAGAAACTGAAGAATGTGCACAATAATAACAATAATAATAATTTAAAAATCTAAAATAGTCATTGTAATACTGGCCAGGGAGTCTGTGCTACTCTCACATTATAATCTTGCCCAGAGAGGCATGTAACCGAGGAACTACAGATAACTCTCGTACGTGATGCCTCATGTGGTGCCGGTTTACTCTTTCTCCCTCTATCCACAGAAATCAAACAAAAACAGTGAGCGTGCAATCTGCTCTTGTTTTTCTGGGTCTAATTTATTCCGAGTAGAGCTTTGAAGCTGAAATAAAATTATCCACAGGACTGCAGCCTCTTAGAGGAGAGGTGCACCGTGCGTTTGCACGAGCAACCTGGAAGGGGCAATTCAGGTCAGCGTGATGCAACTTTTGTCTGGTAACACTCAACAGATAAAGGAGAAGCGGTGAAGCGATAATCTCATACAGAGATGGATTCTGTTGAATGAAGTGCAGTATCGGTTCACCGAGAAGTTAAAATCTTAATTTAATATCTTTATTTTGTCGTTGGTTGTTCACATTAGAGGGGAATGTGTTTCTTAAACTAATCCACAGTGTGGAGGTTTGTCCCTGAGCTTTGAGAACTGTAACAAAATAATGAGCTCAAATTTTCAACTCCCAGCCTCCCTCAGTGAATCGCTCAGGTGTCGAGGTTTCAGACGGATGATTTTGGAGAGCACTTCAGATGTGAATCTGGCTTAAATGTCACATCAGTGAGGATAAAGGAGAAAAATGATGAAACTGATGCATGAAAGGTATTATATGAGCTGAAATTATTAACACTTAAAGTCAGTCAAAAGCACATTTCCTAATATTTGTAGGTCTACAAATAAAGGAAACTATCAGAACACATGAGGTCCTGTAAGGTATTTTTTTTTAAATCTTGTGTGAAATAAACGACAAAATATCACCTTACAAGGCTTCAGGGGTACGAGCTGTTTCCATATACACCTCCTGTTTGTCAAGCAAAAGGATCACATTATTAAATAGTGGGTTTAGTTATGATTCAACAAACTTTTGCCACGTGTAAGAAATTGTTATTTTTCTATATACATTAAAGGTCTTTGTTTAATGTTATTATGGCTTGGATTTAAAATTATAAATCTTTTTCTTCACATTCATCTTTTTTGGCTTATCTAGTCAAAATGCATGATCATGCAGGAGAGATCATTTTCCCCATAGAAGACCACAAATCGTATTAATTGTGTTCTCTTCATATTTGGGGGGAGGGGGGGGGGGAGAGACGGTGGTGGTGTCTAAAACGCTTAGACAAGCAAATTAATAAGTGCTTGGCAACCATATTGCCACATAACTGAGGATAAGTGGCTTCTTTCAGCATCGTGACTGAATCAAATATTCACATTTGCTGTTTATCCTAATTAGAGCCATTTAGTTAATCTTCTAGAGAGGGAGCTGGAATGGAGATGAGCAGAGAAAGAGCTGAATATCAAGTTTTATTAAAAACACACACACACACAAACAACAAAAACACAAAAACTGTTGGAGCCCGCCTGACACTATACTTAATGTTGTGTAGGAACAACGTTAAATCTTTTAGCCATGGAATTATGAGAGTGGGGAAGCTTTGTCTCCTTCCACTGAAGTGGGGCACTTTAATACTTTCCTTGTTGGTGTAAATTCTCCAGGCACATAGATCTCAAAGGGCCTCGGGAGCTTTAGAGAGTAAATCAAAGAATGAGGATCAAATGAACATCTGCCACATTCATCGCTTGTGTTAAACAGGTTTTGTAAATTAAATTGTATTGTATGTAGAGTTTAAACAGATTTAAAGTCAGACAGGCATTAGATAAAGTTAATTTAACCCCATCAATGGATCTCTGCCACCATCCATCTGACAAGTTGACACCCAATTCCTCTTTGCTCTATTCCTAACTGGCAGTGGTGATACAAAAATAATCATTTACGAGTAAAGAAATGTATACAGAAAGACCCGTGGCTCCTTTCACCTGTGATTCACTTTATCTATCCCCTCACTCGTGCACACAGGTCACCAGATGTTCGAGAGGAGCGCCGTCCACCAACGGCTGTGCTGGGGAGCTCTCTACCTGTTGGCAGCAGGGGTGGCACTGACATCTGAGACGCGTTGGCTGTGTCCGCCATTCTGCCACTGTAATGCTACGGTGCTGGAAGTGAACTGCTCTGGTGGCCAACTTACCAGAGTTCCTGATGGTCTCTCACAGGAAGCCAGGCTGCTAAACTTAACCCACAACACGCTTAAGACTTTGGTGCGTCAGCAGTTCCACACGTTGACACAGCTGTCGGACTTGGATTTAAGTGACAATCTTTTGGTAATAATTGAAGTGGAAGCCTTTCTTGGCTTGCAGAGTCTGAGAACTCTGCGCCTTTGTCGCAATCACCTGAAGATTATCCCAGTGGGAGTGTTTGCTGGCTTAACAAACCTCCAGTTACTGGATGTAAGCAGCAATCAGCTTCTTGTTTTCCTCGACTTTACTTTCAGTGAATTAACTTCCCTGCGGGTCATGAAAGCTGCAGATAATGACTTGGTTTATGTCTCTCATCAAGCTTTTACAGGACTAATCAGTCTGCAGGAGCTGCACCTTGATGGCTGCAACCTTACTGCTATGCCAATGGAAGCGCTCACACAACTTAGCGTGCTGAGAAGCCTTAGTTTTCACCGACTGGGCCTCACTACGCTGCCAAACTACTCTTTCCGCCACCTAGTCCACCTAAAGGAACTTGTCATTTCTCATTGCCCCTGGCTGGAGAGTCTGTCAGGGAACAGTCTCTTTGGCTTAAACCTCACATCACTAACCATTAAACACGGCAACCTAAGTGCCTTCCCCTACATCCCCTTACATCACCTTGTATATCTCGTATACCTTGACCTTTCTTTTAACCCCATCACCTACATTCATGCAAACCTTCTCGGAGACTTGCTCCGGCTCCAAGAGTTACATCTTGTTGGGGGATCGCTGCTTAGGATTGAAATCGGATCATTCAGGGGTTTGGCCCACTTCAGATTGCTGAATGCATCCAGAAACCGTCTTACCACACTTGAGGTTGGAGCTTTTTATTCAGTGGACACCCTAAGAACTCTGGGGCTTGATAACAACCCACTGGCATGTGACTGCCGTTTGCTTTGGGTGGTGCAAAGGCGACTATACATGGACTTTGGTGAAAGTCCGCCAACTTGCATTACCTCAGTCCAGCTGCAGGGCTGGAATTTTCTGGATTTCCCTGAGGTTGAGCTGCCGGATTTGCTTACCTGTCGGCCACCTCGAATTCTTAACCGCAAAGCTCAGGTGATGAAAGTAGATCAGGGACACACAGTGGTGTTTCACTGCAGTGCCGAAGGTGACCCTCTGCCATCTGTCAGATGGCTAAACCCACAGCTAAGATCTTTATCACCCATCGGCAGAGTACGAGCTCTGTCCAATGGCTCGCTGGAGGTTCGCTATGCTCAGCCTCAAGATAGTGGCAAGTATCTCTGTGTGGCATCAAACGCAGCGGGAAACGACAGCCTGCCCATTAGCCTTCATGTCCAAACCTTTCCATCATCTTCTAAGAAACCATTTCGTCTTAAAGGTTGGTCTGCCTTTCCATCTGCTGCTCCAGGTGTGAACGGAAATCAGAAACTCAATTTTGATGTAAAGACCCTACTGATAGCAGCAACCATAGGGTTTCTCTCGTTTTTCAGCTCTGTGAGTGTTTGTTTCATTTTCATGTTCTTCTGGAGTAAGGGCAAAGGTCAGATAAAACACACAGCCACAATCGCGTATGTGCCACGAAGCGCCATGTCGAGCAGTAATGGAGGGACAAGCAGCTATATGGAAACGGGGAGGTTTACCATGAAGCTGTTATGAGTCAATAAGCAAAGAATATATTCACCTGATATTAGTAGGTATCAGTGAATAAACTGCAAGATGCTTCAATTTATTTGTTTTTTGCTTGAATCTGATAATAATGAGCATGTTGTCTTAATTAATAATATTTTAAATTGCATTTAAGAAATGTGACCTGACAAACCATGATCATGTTTATCTTGCAACACAAAAAAATAAGGAAATGAGGATAAAATAAATTAAAGAGTAAACTTAAAATAACAATTACATTGGACTTCAGGTGGACTATTTGGACTGATGAGATATGGAGAATCCAACAATAGCGGTATAACCTTATATTAAGGTTAATGTGCAGTTTATTATGCGGCTTCTTTTCTGTAGCATGTTATCTTTTCTTGATTAATTTCTGCACTGTTTATTATTTAATAAATGTGTGAAATGCAAGTTGGTTGTTTTTTTGTTGTTGTTTTTTTTACATTTTTTCTATCCAAGAACTTACAAAAATTAAAGTGATTATGCTTTCACAAATTTGGTGTACTTACTTAAAAATTTACAGCACCCAGTGAGGAGCATCCAGTGAGGAACGACACACACAGCACTTAGATTAATGCGTCTATATGTGAACTGCAAGGTTTAAAAAAATCTCCATAAGCAGTTTTGTACCTACATTGTGGGCGAGTAGACCGTAATACTTATCTTACCTTCACCAGTGAGTGGAGCTGGCTGCATTAACTGACAGCGAAAACGGTAAGGGGTGGATATAACAATAAACAAATATAATAAATAAATGCGTAATAAATAAATTACTTTAACAGTAGATAGAGACTGCTGAGTAGTGCAGTCATTATCGTGCGCTAAAATTACAGAGTTGCCATGACAACGCATACGTTTCTCGGCGCAAAAGAAGACCTCGGTTTCATGAAACAGTTATACAATTTTTGAATAAAATATTTTCTAATAGAAGCTTCGCATTAACTGTGTAATTGATTATATTTTCCTATGTCAAGCCAAACAACTAAAATAAACTTTTAGTCCGCCCGCTAGCCCGGAAGTAGATCAACAGTCCCGGATATGGTTGCTTGCTAAATGAGAGCTAGCGGTCAGTTGTACATTTCATTTGTCAGTGTTTATCGTCTCTTATAAGAAAAATTATAAAGTATCCCTTGAATTTAAAAGGGTCTAAAAAATATGGGCACCAACATAAAATTAAGCAAATATACTGAGTAACGACGAGGTCAAAGAGGTTCCCGCAAAACGATCTATATCTTTTAGCGTAACATAACGAGCTAAGTAGCTTAGCATTGATTAGCATATTTTGAAACCACAATCATGAGCCTCGCAGTTGGCCGCGAACCCAGAAAGACTGCGGGAAACCGTATGTCCAAACTACTGGATGCTGAAGAAGAGGATGAGTTCTACAAGACCACTTACGGAGGCTTCAACGATGTGAGTAACCAAACTGATAAACAGAGCGCGATAAAGAGTTGGCATTAGCCGGCTCCAGTGTTAATAACTAGAGCCTGCAAAAAACAAAGTTGATTGTTTTTTGCAATGCCTGAAATACTGCTGCTCAATTTTGGGGAAATTGGTTCATACCTATTTGCTGCCCGACAATGAAGCCGGCAGCCAACTCACTTATTTATATTATTTACACATTAGTACAACGGAAGAATTTAGTTTCTGCCAGGCTACTGACCATGCACTAGTACAGGAGACATCTCTCACTATTTTGAGACTGACATGACTGGGAGTGGGTCTCACTGATATAAATCAGACTCTCACAGCATTACACGATCCGGACCTTTTAGACAAGCCAGCACATCTTCACACGTTTATTTTAGTATTAAATCCTAATGAGAGTATCATATATGGCAGGGCCGCTGCATTATACTTCAATACTTTTAAAGAGTTTGTCAGGAAGCTCTTGACTAAAGGGTTATGTGCATGTAAACAGCAATTTTAAAAGCTATTTTAGTTTTATCATGTTCTTGTTAGGGCAGATCAATTAAATGTTTATTTATTTATATTTGTTGGGGTTTATTGGGTCTTGTATCATAAATTTAGTAGTGCATTGCTGAAAGCACTTACTTCCTTTCTACTAGGCTGAGGTTGTGGTTTAAAAGTTGATTAACTCTCACTGGTAATTGGGGAGTCGTGTTTGATTGTGATTTTTAACAGTAACCATTCCTGCCATCATTTCCGTAGTAATGTTGAAAAACAATCTCATCAGATTTTGGATTTTGACAAGAGCGAAAACTGAGTGTGAAAGCGAAGCTGTTGATTTTACCAGTCGATCTGTGTTCCTACCCTCGCTATGACCACGAGCTGTGGGTAAGAACGAGATTGCAAATGCAAGCGTCAGAAATCAGTTTCCTCCAAATGGTGTCTGGGCTCGGCTTTAGAGAAAGAATGAGGAGCTCAGTGATTTGAGTATAGCGTCTACTTTACATATCAGAAGGAGCCGGTTGGGGTGGGTCAAGAATTGGAATATGATGCCTCCCAGAGGAGGTGTTTTGAGTGTGTATTAGCAGGAGGTAGCCCTGGAGCAGACCCAGTAGAGGGAGGTCTGGGGCTTCTCTACTTAGACTGCTGCGCCTATGACCTGGACATGGATTAGCAGCACAAAATGGAAAGATAGATGGAGAAAGCTCTTCATTAGGCTGGGGTTCTCACATCTGAGAGTACAGTTTTGGAAATATAAGAGAAATGAGGTGAATTAAAAGGACACATCTAAAAATGAGTGCGTCTTGCCACTGTTCATTCGAAATGGTGACCGTGACTTAGTTTAGAGCTGGCCTTACAATTATAGTTTGAACACCAGCTGTAAACAGAGCCTAGATGATGCCAGCTTTTCCCGCTTCACGCTTGAAGAGAGAAGAAAGTTGTGTGATATTGTTTGTCAGAACATTTGATGCTGTAGCAATCTCACACGTTATGGTTTGCTTTTGAAGATGCTAATTTGTTTCCTCAATTTACAGTGTGGCTAATTTTCTTCAAACAGCTGCTGGTTCAGGGGTCACCTTGTGTAGGGGGATTTGGCAGCGGCAGCTCTGGCAGTTCTGACAAGAGTGGCTTCATAAAAAAATCACAAACAGATCCTGAGATGCCTCAGTCATCTCTGCTGGGACTTTGATAAAGCACTGTGAACGTGCCTGTGTGTGCACACGCTTCCTTTATCTGTTCAGTTTTCAGGGATATTTTTGACTTGTGCTGCTTTCTAAATCTTTACTGTCGTTGGATGTTGGGTTTCAAAATGACCCACATTTATTTTAAGAAATTTGAAAATTCACATTGTTAGTGCACATAATGCATTTGTGTTATTTTATTTATCTTTGCACCTGGTTTGGGCCCAAGGCTGCTTGTTTGAGTTTTGTGATGTAGCTTTGACAATGAGGGGAAACATCTTTATTAAAAATAAATAATCTGTTTATTACTAAATCTCTTAATGGGATATGACTTTGCATACATTGCTACACACTTGCCAGATACAAAAGTGTAAGATTTTAATCAATAGGCCTGAAGACTACACTTAGAAAAAATGCAGAGGAAATTTGGTGTTTGGTGTCTTTGCTGGTATGTCTCGGATTACTTGCAGATGGTTTGTTCTGCTGTTCTTTTCTTTTCCTGATTTTTATTTATTGCTCCATTTGTTTGTTGTTCAGGAATCGGGAGATGATGAGTATCACGGAGAACATTCAGACACAGAGGACGAGGTTGACAGTGACTTCGACATCGATGAGGGTGACGAGCCGGACAGTGACCAGGAGGAGGACGCACCTCGAAGGAAAAGTCGGGTTGTCACCAAAGCTTACAAGGTACTGCAGGACCAATCAAACTTTGAGCTAAGCTGAATTTAATTGCCCTAAAACCTTGTGTCATCATGTATCACTTTGCAGCGGACTTGAAAAACAAAGATGGAAACTATTTGTTTTTCCCTTTAAAAGAAAAGGAAAAGGAAAAGTACTATTTACCACCTTTTTTTAATCGCTGTGTTGTCCTTCAGCCCCACATGGGTACAGTTGCACACATGTGCTCCTTATCCCTCAGGTGAACAAGCTTTTTAGCAACTAATGGCCAAGTCGGACCACTAATAATGTCCCCATTATATTTTACACAGAAATACTCTTTTAAGTGGCTCTGTTTCTGTTTGTGCCTGTTTCACCTTTGCTGTTTCCTTTATCTGTGCCAGATATTCTAACATATAATTAATGATGTTTTATATTTTTATGGTAAAATGAGTTAAGCCTCTTATCTCTGTCAGTTTCGCTGTTTTCCACATCATATTGGCATTAAGTATCTGCCTCAAGGCTTCTGCAGCAGTGAATCGGAGTACTCAGTGAGATTAGAAAAGTGGTATCTAAATACTAGTTAAAAAATAAACAGTACATTATCCTTGGCTCACAGATGGGCCAAATCCTTTAAAAATCTATGAAGAGCTGAAGGACAAAATCATTGTAGGAAAGATTTTTGATTTAAAAATGTCATACTGACACACATAAATGACCTCAGTCAGTCAGCCGAAGGTTAAAACTGCTCTGCAGCTCCACAGAAGCCACTGGTTGTCAAATGACATGTATTAACATATGTTAAAAACAAACTGATTTAAAAAAAATCCTTTAACATAACAGTTTGCATTGTTTTTAATATTAATATATTTTTTATTTCCTGGCATGAACATGTTTAATGTGTGATTATAGCATAACATTTAATGTTTTTCATCTTCTTCCTCAAACTGAATGTCAGTGAAACAGATGCGAATTGAAAATGCTCTGTCTTTGTTTAATCCAAGGAACCAATAAAAGTGCCAAAACCCAAACCTAAAAGAACAGAGGAGCAGAAGAAGACGGAGAAAACTAAAGTGGAGCCAAAAAGGAGGATTCCACAAGAATTCCAAGATTTTGCAGAGAGTAAGATTTCTCTAAACCTCCTACTAATGCTTCCATAGTGTTTTCCTTTTATTTGAAAAGAAGGATGCATAAACCTCCCAGTTGTGTGCATTCAGTGAATGGATCATAATATTGTGGGAAAGTTACAAACATGTTTAAAAAGTTTTATTCAGCTGTTTTTTTGTTTTTTTTTTAAACACTGCATTTCTTAATTCTTGTGTAGCTCGGAAGTCTGTCCGACAGTCCACCAGTGAACATACACGAAAGACGAATCTGCGCTTACAAGAACGCCAGGATGCCCCGCGAAGGCGACGAGGCGCTCATCGTGACCGACCCCTCACCCAGGAAGAGCTGCTGGCTGAGGCGAAAATAACAGCCGAGATCAACATTCGATCACTTGGTGAGAACATGTTGGAGAGTTACTCTTTAAATATCTGCACAAACTTTGGGTAATTCAGGACTCTTGGTTATCTTTCCTGTTATGCAAAGAGAGAACCAATGTCGAGATTAGTGTGTCTTAGCAGAAACATAGAAAACAGAAATGATACCAGACAGAAAGCATCCTGTTAAGCACTCCAGGATGTGCGAGTACTGAGTATCACATTGCCAGTTATGTAAGCTGAACATTATAATTATCTATTAATCAGGATTGGAAGAGCCCGTGATTGTAATGTAAATCAGTATAGTTCCACCAATAATTTACCTAAAGCTGTTTGTGCGGTATAACAAAACACATCAGTGTTGCTGATTTTTACTTCACGTCTTCAGAAAACTACGAACGTCTGGAGGCAGACAAGAAGAAACAAGTCCACAAGAAGCGGCGTTTTGAAGGACCAACCATCCGTTACCATTCAGTCCTTATGCCCCTCGTCTCAAACCCAGTCCTTAAAGAAGAAAATGTTGATGTTGAGGGGTACGTAGAAACTCGATGCTACCTGGTTTTTCTTTTGATTCTGTTTTGGAGTAATCTGCTGCTTAAACATTGACCGAATGGGGTCAGTTGGGTATTTTCTGTCGTTCTTTTCATATAAAAAGGGCAAACACAACAGCTTGATAATAAATGGCTTCACCCAACCACTAACTATGAGTGGAAAAAAAAGTTTTTGTATTATAATTCGTATTCTCTGAAAAATGGCCGAAAATCATAAATTCTGCCAGGACATGTAGACTGATGAGCACAACTGTCTGATAATTATGTTTAAAAACATATATTCTTGGTTTTGTCATATTCCCAAAGGTTGGACCAGGACGTTCCCCAGACTGCACCGCAGAATCCCACCACACCTTCCCAGCAGTCTGCCGGAGGCCTGTGCTCCCGCACTTATATAACATTCAGTGACGACGAAGCGTTTGAGGTCGCCTTCCCGCCAAGCTCCCAGACGAGTCCTCAAGTGCCCATCCAGGAGGTTTGTCCTGTTACCCACAAGGCCGCGCTGTACCGAGACCCAGTCACAGATATACCGTACGCTAACGCACGAGCCTTCCGCATCATCCGGGAAGCATACCGCAAATACGTGGCCGCTCATGGATTTCCGAACACTTCAGGAGGGTCGACGGTACTTGACTCTTCAGCAGCAAAGGGCGCCCGGCAGAAAATGGTTATGAAACAGAGTGCGGCTGCTACATAGATTAGTTTCAAAAAGAGGATAAAGGATTGGTTTCTGTTTGAAATTCTCAGTGAAATGATCGAAAACACTGTTTTTATTTCTGTCCTTACAGCTCACGAGGAGTCTAGTGGAAAAAACTGACATTTTGGGTTTGAGCTGTCACTGAGCTGCTAAAAGGAAAAAAAACAAACAGTAGTAGAACCAAAACAGCTGCCGCATGGCCTTAAAATGTAAAAAGTCTTATTTGTGAAGTCTGTGTGGAAATCAGCTGAAAAAGGCGTGCATCTGCACAGTGGCAGCTGTGATTGTTCTTTTTATTTAGTTTGTTTGTTTTAGATTTATGTTTTTTTTTTTACTTTTGTGTTTGCAAATGTTCTCATCAAAAAAATAAATTTTGGGAACTTGTAATAATTGAGAGTTAAACGAGTTCTGCTTTATAATAAAAAATGGGACGTCTGCACAGCGGGAACCACAGGAAAAACTGGGGAAATAAGCCCATCATCATAAAATCATCTTTGTTTTCACCAGGCTAAAATCCATTTAATCTGTCATGCCCGTCTTAATTTACAGTTTAGTATTTGTTTTTTGTTTTTTTTGTTTTTGAGTGATAGAAGGCAAAGAACTAAATGTCATGTTTTGGTTTTTAATTTTCAGTCCAGCACCGTAACTAAAAAAAACATCAGACTGTTTTGGAAAACCTGGGCCCTGGAGTTTAATTAATTGTCTGCGTCTGACAAATCACTGAGACACTTTTAATTGATCAAAGCTTTAAATCCTCCCTCCTGTTATACATTTTAATTTTTAACACAGAAGCAAGCATAAGATATTCTCTTTTATGGGTGAGAGCGAGGCAGTTTCTTCCACACATTTATCTCCTGGTTCTTTCTTAATGTGTAGTCTGATAGTTTAAATTTTATTTTATTTCCTCTATCTGCCTCTATGCAGACAGGGCTGTCTCATCGAGCATTCAGAGTATATTCTAGTTCATCGTGAGGCTTTTATAAAATGTTTTTTTTTCTCCTCTCTGAATTGTTAATGGCGGAAAATTGCTTGAGCTTCAGTCTCGAACAATACTGCTTTGCTGATCCCTTTGGGACCTTAAATTAGCTTTTCTATATTTATTCTCTGTGTGTAATCACAGAGAGACAGAGTAAGCCCTTAACACAGCTGAGTGCTTGACTAGTGTGAAACCTTTGACCCCTTCTACACCGAACTACTCCCCTGCACAATGTCCCATAGTCCCAGCACTCATAAACCCCCCAAATACAATTAATTAAGTTTCAAGGCCTCAGATAATCAAAGGTTTCACATTTATTTTATTAGAAACAGCAATTTGTTTTGTTTTTTAGCTGTATCACAGGAGATTTACATTCAGCCTTCACCTGGGAGCAGAATCGATGACTGGTGAAGCCGTCTCTGATCTCGTTTGGAGTTTCAGGTTCAGGCAGATGCTTTGCCTTTGCAGGAAAACTTGTTTGTTTCAAGCAGATTCTTACCTGTGTTTCCAGTAAATGCCCTGATGATGTTGAGCACAGCATCTCTGAACAGTCTGTGTTCTGGTGCATAAGTAACCAGGCTTCTTTGTTTTCAGCTCATCTCAACTCTGCACAGCAGATATTACTGCATATTTGATTTGGCGTAGATTTTACACCAGATGCCCTTCACAAAGCTACACATCCATTTATCTGGGCTTGAAGCTGGCACTAGGAATACACTAGCGTCCTACCCCTTAGACTTGGTTTGTCTACTCCCAGTCTCAAGCTGTGGGTCATTTGTGTGTAAGTTTGAAAACCACTGACAACAAAACTCATTCATTTGCTTCTCTACTGACGCATTAGAGTAACCTGTGAACCTATGAGGTACTGATAGTTCAGAATATGTAAATCTTTAATCGCCTGATGACATTCATTATAAAAATGTTTCAAAATTTTAATAATCTAAAAGCAGAACCTTAGTTATCTAGATAACGTGACAGAGCCAAATTCTACCACTGTAAGTATTAAATGCTGTGTTCTAATATTACACACTCTAACAACACTTTATTTGGTACACATTGCCAGTGCTGGTTTGACCCCCACCACCATCCTGCCCCCCCTTTGCTTTAATTCTTTTTGGCATAGATTCAACAAGATGCTGGAAACATTCCTCAGAGATTTTGGTCCATGTTTACGTGACAACATCACACAGTTACTGCAGATTTGTTGGCTGCACATCTATGATGTGAATCTCCTGTTCCACTAAATCCCAAATGTTCTCTGTTGGACCGAGATCTGGTGACTTGTTAGAATTTGCTAAGCTGTGTGAATTCTAGCCTTAGTTTCCTGTTCTTTAGCTGAAAGAAATGGCAGCTAGTGTGGTCTTCTGCTGCCTCAGCGTGCATTCAGAGATGCTCTTCTGCATTCCTTGGATGCAACGAGTGGTTGTGAGTTACTGCTGCCTTCCTATTGATTCAAAACAGTGTGACCATTCTGCTTTGACCTCTGGCGTCAACACGTGGATATTTTGTCCTTTTTGGACCACTCTCTAGAAATCCTAGACATGTCTGTCTACATGTCTAAATGCACTGGTTGGCTTATACTTGTAAACGAGCAGTTGAATAGATCTACATAATGAAGCTCAGCCTCCAAAAGAAGCTGCTTAGAGCTGGAAAAATGAAACACATTGAGGGAACAATAAATAAATAATTGGTTTATAAAGTGAACAAGAAGAAAAAGAGTGCCTATAAAAGTACATTGTGCATACTCATAAGTATGTATTGGAAATGAGAACAAGGATGTCACCTTTCCAAATATCCCCTCCCCCCCTTGGATGTGTTAACTGATCGGAAACACTTGTGTAAACTGAGACCTTTTTAAAATTACCGTCACCTGATGAAAGATGGTGCATTTATTAAGGCAGTGATCTACTGAAGTGAATAATTCATTACTTAAATGTCATTTACATACACATGAATGCTGATTTAAAGTTGCCATTAAGACCAAAATGTCACATTTACAAAGAGAGGAGCAAAGAGAGTCAAGTCACCGTAGAAACGAGTCAAAAAAGATAAAAGCTCCTCCATTGTTCAGATGCTCTCAGTCGAGATGCAAACAATGTCGCATGCAAAGTGAGGAAGCAGAAGCAGATCAGCCATCTGTAAGTTCTCCCAGCAGGCCATCCGACAGCCAGGCTTACTCGCCCTGTGTTTGTCATATGCTGAGCTGACAGACTTACTGTACCTTGCATTAATCATGAGAGTAAACCAAAAAAAAAAAAAAAGATCCCTCCAAACTGATGTGAGGAAACAACAAATTGATTCATGTTTTTCAGCTGTACTGTGCTGCTTTGGGAGTTAACAAAATGAGTCCACAAGAGGGATATTCAGCTAGGCAGAACGAGGATTCGGTGTATGAAGTAATTTCCCTAGTTATTTTCTGCTTAAACCCAAATCATAACCAAGCACACCATGTGTGTGCACGCTTTGTGCATTGTCATATTCGCATTGTTGCCACAAAGTTTTGCAGTAACACCCCGAGCCAAACTGCATTCAGCACTTTCTGAGGATGCAAATTTCAACGATGACGTTGCACGAAAAATGTCACTTCACATTAACACCAACAGCAGGAACCAACACAGTCGGGGAGACAGGAAAAAAAAAAAAAGAGTAATTTTATTGTGCTTTTTCCAATTCTATCAACCTCAATGCTTGCTCTTTGAAAGCGGCGTCTGCCCACACACTGCCACTTACATTGGTGAAGAAAAGAAAAAAACAACAACAACCTAACACATTTATTCAAGAATAACAAGTTATCCCTTAAAGCGACCATGATGATGAATTCAGTGTCGGGCTAAGCCAGCGTCTCTGGTGGATAGACCGATGTAATCTATGCAGTTAAGATTTTTAGCCTTTAGTGTTGTTGTTTCATATTTTATTTTACAGCGTCGCAGTTTAACACTTCTAAACGTTCCTCGTATTATCTGCAACAGCGCACGAGCGAAAGCTTTGTCTCCCACATACTGCACAGGGCATATGGTACCAATTGAACAGTTTTCAGAATAGGAAGAGAGGGAACTGCATTATCACTCGTTCTAGTGTGGTAGTTGCCATGGAGACGAGTGTAGGTGGTGTACTGTGCTGTACTCTGCTGTACTGCTTCTCTTGTCCTCTCCCCTCTTCTAATGCCCACCGCCTCTGTTCTGCTATCCGCAACATCCGAGTAACTTTCATTTGTTCGTGTTTACTCAGAAGGCTTCTGCTGTTTGTCGTGTATCGATGCTTTATGCCTTTTCCCCCCCCACCATCTAAATCAAACACACAGTCTGAAATGGACAAGCTACTTAAATTATGTAATTATTATACATTACAGCTGGCCTAATTTTGTGTTTCCTTCCCATTTAATGAACCCTCTCTGCTTAGATCCTACAAATCCTACAAAGGTTTCCCTTTTTTCCCCCCACCTATAAATGTTTTTCACGCTGACCGCCCCAGTTCTAGTATATGTTATGCTTTGTCAGTCTTTTTGCACACCACCTATTCTTTTAACAGTTTCCATGGAGATGTGTTTGTGCATGTGAGTGATTGAGGAAGGGTTGAGAGTGAAAGAGTAAGGATGTGTCACTTCCACTTCGAAGGGCTTTTTCCCCCCCGGTTGTTGTTTTAGTGTAATTTGGAAGACGGTGTGTCCCGTCCGGTGTCCCGAGATAGACGTTCAGCAGCGTCAATGATTTTTGTTTCCTGCTTCTTGTACTTGTCTTGTGTTTGCTACAGATGCATTACACTTTAAATCCCAATAAAAATGTAGAGATATTTCACATAGTGCTGCTGTGCGAGTCTATGTTAACGCAAAGGTTTCATCATCTTTGTTGTCGTATTTGGAGCCGATCAAACTTTTGCTGATTCATTCAAACGTTAATTATGATTAGGAAAAATAATTATTGTTTTGTATTCCCAGTTTACCACCAGCCTCGTTCTTGTGGTGTAGAGAGGGGGAAAAAAAACCTAACTGGGTTAAAATTCTTTTTCAGGATTTATGTAACACAGTATTTATATATGCCCACGAAATGATCTATGACACATTCAGGATTTAACAATTAGCAATACATATTTATGTAACATGTTTACATCGCAGATTCAAAAGGAAAAAAATCCTAACAATTGTTGCCTCCACATGTCTGGACCTATATGGAGAGGTTTGATGGATTGGCTTTTTTCCCCTTTCCCAGTGATCAGAATAACACCACATTACAGGCTATTAAAATCCAAATGAGTCACACGCAGACGTTGATTTTACTGTTGTTTGGACTACTGGTTACTGTGAAGGCAAACAAAACATCACGGTGGTCTTTACAGGGCAGTTTCACTTTTTTCTAAAAAAAAATGTCTGTCTTAAACATACAGGGAGTGCAGAATTATTAGGCAAATGAGTATTTTGTCCACAGCATCCTCTTCATGCATGTTGTCTTACTCCAAGCTTTATAGGCTCGAAAGCCTAATACCAATTAAGCATATTAGGTGATGTGCATCTCTGTAATGAGAAGGGGTGTGGTCTAATGACATCAACACCCTATATCAGGTGT